CAGCCAGAAAGTTTTGGGCTGCTTAACAAGCATTTTGCATTGCACATACATTATTAGGGTACATCTCGATAAAAATACTTTAAACCGTAGCATCATGTGTACTCGTTCTCTGTAAAATGTTTTGATTGTATCTGCTCAGTAGACAAGGACAGGATGTGAGAGTACATTGTTTTGACTCCAAATTGTGTAACACAGCACATATACTGTATGTCCTACTGTATGGATTACGCTCTAATCTCTCTGTTCCCATACATTATTTAGATTATATCAACACAAAAAAGCAAATAAATTAAGATATGCTTAAAGTAAAAAAACAAAACTTTTGGATAGTCACAGCATAAAAAAAGAGTTTGAGACTAAAGCTTATGTCTTTATTAGAGATGGGAGAAATGAGGGCCAGTTCCAGCAGTGTGAAACAAGGCTGAAAGGAGACTGTCCCTGCCTCGCAAACACAGTCACGCTGAATGCGGCCATTGTTAGAGTTTGTAAAAGCTATGGAGCCACCAGACCATGTAACACACACTTCCCAGCCCCGAAGTAGTGGCCTAGATTCTACAGTATTGCACTGGAGTCATGCTCTTCTTCATCTGCTTTTCTGAGTTTCCACCCTTAGGGAGGAGTTTCATGTGTCATTTGGCTTTTATTCAAACAAAAATTAAAGCCTTTATCCACAGTTGTTCGAGGTAAATCTTTTTCCAAGTGTTTGAATTATCCCCCCTGGTCAAAAAAAAATACACTACCGAGAAAAAAAGCCATACAGAGCTGTAGCCATTTGCCAAAGTTAAATGTATTAAACTAACCTGGAATCCCTTAAAATCTGTGTTGAGGCACCACCATATGATAGAGGCTCGGCTTCTCATTTTTAAGACCAAGATAGTGTAAACCAAAAGAGGCAGCACTCATATAACCTAATGTATGCAAAGCAAGTTAGGGCTTTAAATAATATTGTGACCAGGAGAGCCACAAGCAACAATGTACTGTAGTGTAAATCTATTTGATACAACAACATCCATTTAGGTACAACATAATGTTGAAGTTGAGAGAATTCAGCACAAGGTTTTAAGATATTTGCAAATCAAAATCTATAAGGTGTGGTTTCCATTGTATTCCAGATAAACCAACAGCCATATAAGCAGGGAATTAATAAGAGAAGCAATCATGCGAACTTTGGAGGAGCTGTTGGGATTCCAAGCTCGGGTCTGTGGTGGTGTATTATACCGGTATGTGTTTTTTCCAAATTAAGCCAATTTAAGCTAATTTTACTGACGGTTTGCAACTAAAAACACTCTTTACTACTACTTTACTCAACTCTCTTTAGATAAATGGGATGTCGCTTTGATCATGTTGGTATTATATGAGATTTGAATTTTTTCATTAGTATTTTTGAAAAACATTAATCTGTAGAGATTATGAAGCTTAAGTGTAAATTCAATCTAGAAGACTGCGATCAGCCTTACCTGGATCACCTGCTGGTGCCATGCCTCCAAACCTCAGCTAATGAGCCTCAGGACCGCACCCCTCCCAGAGCCAATCGGCTTGCAAGGTCTCCTTCAAGCGTCGTTAATGACGTCCCTCCTGCTCACCAGCTGTCTCTCTACCCACCTCCACCCCTTCTTCTCCCCACGAGGTGAATCTGGGGACAGGCTCCGTTTTCAGCCGGTGTCCGACCGCCAAACAGCTTTATTAATTATGTCGCAAAACGCTTCTAATTACAACTTCTCTCTCTGTGAGTCTCTCCAGGTGGAAACAATTCTAGAAATAAAGTGAAGCCTTGGGTAATACATTTAAACATCACACAAATGTCCCCGACTTGGACTAAACTGAACAGCTGGCCTCAGTTTCAGCCCGTCTGTTTGTGACAGTATCTTCAAAACAAACGAGGAGTGCTGATCATCCGCAGAAGAAAATTCTTTTTGCTGTAAGATAACTTGCTTGTTGCTTTGAGAGTGTTTTCATATGCCGGAGGGTATAAATGCGCAGAACGTTTGAGGCACATAGAGGAAATGAAGATGGTTTTGAGAAACAACATCCGATTCCGTCCAGTTTAGTTTATTTTTTTCAAATCAGTAAAAAATAAGTTTTCCTCCTGAGGAAACCCAGCAGGTGGGATCAAGTCCCTGACTTGCAGCTTTTAATCCACCCCCGGATGAGCAAGTGGCAATATTGTACGACAGCTTCCATTGTGTCATGGATATTGCATTTTTCACCTTTACTAAACTATCATATTATTCCGTGGAAAAGATTTCAATTAGACTGTTTTTAAAAAGAAAATATGTTTATTCCACATATATGTCTACGTGATAGAATCCTTTTAGTGGGTAAAATCTAACAAAAATATTCCTCTATGTTGTAAAGGAAGACAGAACAGTTTAAAGCTCTTTGATAACTGCTTTACTTTTCACTCAAAGACTCTTTGTTTAGCACTAGATTCCAGTGACCTTGCTGGGCATCAGGGAGACAAAGAGAAAGGGAGGTGGGCTGAAAGGGAGAGGAAGGGAACAAAGTGTAGATTCTACAGGCAGAGAATCTGTGTGTAATAGCAAACCTGAATTTCTCTGTAGATGGACAGTGTGTTGAGTGATGTGTGCAGCTTTTGCTGAAATAACCAATTGAACCCTGAGAAGAAAGAATGATATTATCAGACAAATATATTTGAATTTTTTTCAGTTTCGTGAATGTAAAGATGATAAATTGATAAAACTGCATATTCATAGGATTGAAAGAAATTGAAACAGATGGGAGAGAAGGTAAAACAAAATATTTTGGTGCTAAAGTGCTGTTTTTCCTCTTCCAAGAAATGTCGATCTTTCTTGAGTCCTGCTCTACTCATTTAACTCTTTCTTTTTAAGTAGATTTCAACCTATTCTGTTAAAGAGTTGGAACATGAACTCAGTCATTATTCACAGCAATTTGATCAAAACTGTAACATTTGTGGTGACAGAAAGTAATTATTGAAAGCATTTGTTATTCAGAGATCACAGCACTGATTTAAGATTTTTAGCTGTGCTTCTGTGTCAGCAGTTTGCCTTTAAAGTCAAATGTTCTTACTATTTGCATCAATCATGTTTTCAGAAGTTGTTTTTTACAATTCGTGGTTTTTGAGGATTTGGAGGAAGACAGGACCTTCCAAAAACCCTCATGGTGGGAACCACCAATACTGGATGATGTTCTCTCCTTATCTGGACTTTGTGGGTCTGCTATTAACAGTATCTTTAATATCACATGGATAATTCAAACAGTTCTGAACAATTTTTGGCCTGTCAGGTATGTATTTTGGTCTATGTATTTTTCTACAAATAGTTGACATTTCTTATTCTATTGGGGAATTCTTACCCTTTTTTTTATGGAGGTTGTGACTTGTTTGGCAAACTGGATAACGTAGCAGACTGTTAACCAAATGCATAAATGTGGAATATTTTTTTATAGGGTTAAGTTTTCAACCTTCAGATAGCTGAGTGGTCGAACCCAATGCGCCACAGCAGCCAGCTTCCCCACAGCTGACAACCTGTTGGGTCTGCAAATATATAGCAATAAAATGATCCTCGATGCGTTTTGATCACCTCATTAATCAATACCTATATTTCATCTATATTTATAGCTTAAAACTGTTAGTGGCAAGCATTATGGAACAATACCGGTTTGAAACTGAATTTTTCATGAGTCAATGCTTGAAATACTGCAGTTGCAAAATATTTATTTGGTCCAATGTCAGATAGATAGATAGATAGATAGATAGATAGATAGATAGATAGATAGATAGATAGATAGATAGATAGATAGATAGATAGATAGATAGATAGATAGATAGATAGATAGATAGATAGATAGATAGATAGATAGATAGATAGATAGATAGATAGATAGATAGATAGATAGATAGATAGATAGATAGATAGATAGATAGATAGATAGAAGTTATTTTACCTTTTTAGCTCACCTTCTTTTGCTCTGCAGAAATCACTTAATCCTTATGTACAAAGTTTGGGCAGTCAGATAAAATGTAAAACATTATCTCATCATAGCTATTCTAAACAGACATTACAATCCCTGCTCTGGAAAATGTCTGCAATTTAACATCACATCAGATAATTTTCTTGATGCCAGACTGTGACTAATGCAGCGGCTGCTGCTCAGAACACTGTAAGGATAAACTACACACACCATCTTCACAGCATCACATATGTACGAGCTGTTTTTCTACTTATGCACAACTGACGGCCCCTCTGCTTTTTTAATATAATGAGTCACAACAACCTCATCCATTTCTATTGATCTAAACATCCCAGCAGCATCTGAGTCAGTCCCTTTGTTATTCCTCTCAGCAAGTCATCTTACATCATTCATAAAGCTGCTTATTCCGCTGAGGCATTTCCATGAAAGAGGTTTGCTGTGCTCTACAATCCCACTCTATGAATTCAGACTTCTTCAAACTCCATCAAACATCTTTTTTTTTTCTTTTCTTTTTCTTATTCTGAGGCTAACACCCCAAGAACCACAGCGGTACTCTCAGGAAAACCCAAAGAGACTTATAGAGGCAGGTACAGCTTTGAGGTGCTTAGCAGAAATTTCAGCTGGGATGAAAATGAGTCATGGAAACAGCCTAATATTATGGGCTAGCTCCCTTGATGTTACTGAAACTAATTAAGCCTTGTGAGCTATCCAGGTTTGTTAGAAGCATAGAAGAGACTCCCTCTATTGCCCTGCTTTTTGCATCTGTGTTTTTGAATGTCATTTATATTTGTTTGCAACCTGGGGACATTTGATTTGATGTCTGGTAACAAACTGTAATCATCACATTTTGCAGGAACTCATGATGGATTTGTATAATTAAAGTACCTTGGTCTACAGGTGCCTCTTATATAAAAAATAAAGGCAGGAAAGACTGACCCCTGCTGCTTATAGCATGCCATTATACCACTCTGTAAAACCTACTGCTTTTAGGACTGAGAAAGCTTTGTCACAAACAGGTCATTGTGTTTCCATCTTTCAACTGTTTGCAGGATTGGTGTTCTGTGTGCATATGCAGCCAACCAGAACCTGAGTTCTCAGGTGAAGAACATACGGCGGCTGGTCAACAGCAACATGAGAGACCTTCACACCTTTGCTAACGACACACCAATGGTGAGATGATATAGACACCTAACATCCGTTGCTGCCTCTCAGTAAATCACAAAATAATTTTGAATTTATGATTTGAGAAAGTCTGTCCGACAGTGAAACATATTTGCTCTCTTTATGGATGCATTACTCTGAGACATTTTCAAATCCACATTCTCTCTAAATTTGGATTTTAACTTAAAGCTTGTTGTACTTAAAACTTGTTCTCAGAAGACATGAATACGACCATTAATATGTAGTTTTTTTATGCTGTAAAAAACTGACTGTTGTCCAACAAACAGATATTGAAAGGAGGTCAGCATTACATGTTGGTGTTCGCTAAAGAATACATCCAATTTTAGAAAGTTAATTGGAAGGAAAAAGTGGCATAGCAGTTGTTACAGGTAACATTAATAACCATCATGAAGCTGTTACCCTAGGAGTTTCACGAGATATGGGGCCAGTGGTTTAATACCCACAAAGCATATACATATCCAGGACATGGCATGTATTTCTTGTTTTATCTTCTGTACAAAAAAAATAAAATTGAGAAAAGAGCTTAACTGTGTCCCAGAGACTGGAGGAGGAGTGAAGATGAACAGACTCTACGTTGCTTGAAGTTTAGAGTGAAGTTTTTGTGTTTTGTTATTGTGTCACAAGTGTCCCAGGGAAATATTCAGCACTTCATGTTTCACTTTCTGATAAGTTTACTGAGATGCTTCATGATGGAGTTTAACCCCAGATTGAAATCATGACCATGGTCTAAAGCCTATTAACAAGAATTAAAGCTTTTCACTGATACTCTACCTTAATAAGCATTGAAATCTTGTGAATCTTGTTGATCTGATGCAATCAGTATGTTCTGTAAGAAACAAGATCTAGAGCAGTTCAAAAAATGTGTTGTAATTGAAGGATTACTGCTGGCTCTTGTCCAGCCCTTTAACTGCCATTTGTAAAAATGTACATAAACAATAACCATTTGTGAAATGTCAAGGAGTAATTGTTCGGCATTTGAATCATTATTTTTTTGCATTAAGTGTAAAAAAAAAATACATTTTTGGAAAGTACATTTTTATCATTAGTTTTAATCTCAGACCTGAGGTTTTGATTTTTGCTGTTATTCTTACTTATATTGTCTCAATTGATTTAACAAGTTTTTTATTCTGAACCATTCAGAATCCACTAAAAGATTAATGAAGTAGTTTTTGCATGCTTTCATGTAAGACTGCCTTTGTGTTTCCTGTTTGCAGCAAATCGATTACCTAATATCCCAATACGCCACCGCCAAGAACAAAGTCATCTACGACCTAGATAGTAAGTAGAACTTCTTTCCTCTAATGGAGAATTAAGTAGGCATAAATGATTCACTCAGCTTTTATTCCTTGTAGTACATTGTGTTGATTTCTTCTTTTCCAAGACTTGTTTTTAGAACTGAATGGCAACGTAACTGAGTTTAGTTAGCTCCAGCTGTGACTGTAAAGGATGCTCACCCTGATTATTCAAGTTTCCTTCTAGAGAGTTTTCTTGAAAGTTAAGCTTGCAAAACAATAAAAAACAAGAAAGCAACTCAAAGTCCTTTAGCAGTCACATAACTTTTGACAAAAACAGCTGAACTGTTGAAAACAACCATAAATTATGTCACTGACTCTGCATCAAACTGACAGCGCTGAACCAAAACTCCATACTATATATATTTAATGCTCTGACTTCCATATCAATGCATTTTTTGCACCATGTCTTTTTCTCCCACACTGTTTACATTTGATCACTGCTGGACTTTAAGAAATGGAAATGTCATAAAAAGCTGTACAAAACAAAATGTTCTATTTGTCTACACTCTGTGTATAGAAAATGACAATAAAAGTTGTCTAAGTGCCTAAGAAAACAAAACTAGCGTATATTGTAAATTCTTGCTCTCCTTATCTATTTCTTTTTTCTAACAGACATAGGTCCATTACTGGGTGGAAGGATACATGAACAATTGGATAAGGAGGTTCATCCTGCTTTAAACCAAGTGCTTAATATGGCTGGAGGTACATTTATCCTTTCTTTGATTTACTCTGATTGGTGTAAAACTTCCTGCTTCTGTCATTAGGTTGAATAGCCTGACTGCTGTTTTATGAATAAACTTAAGATCTGATCATTTCCTTTCAGTTGCTGTGAGTAAATCATTCACCTTTAATCAGTATTGCTATATTTTATTGTTTTTTATTTGTATTTTTATGTCATAAAGTGAAAATCCAGAGATTCATCAAAGGTAACTCAGAGACTCAATAAATTTCTGATGATCCACAGCTGTTTAATCCCTAATGTCCCTAATGTTTTTGATGCTGTGGTTGTTCCTGTTATCTGACCCTCTTGTTTTTTCCTTGAAAATGTGGAACCTCCCTAATCCTCAAGTCTCATCTTACTGGACAGCAATTACAACTTTCAAATTGCACTATGCAACATCTGACAACAAATATCCCAGAACCTCATAGACAGTCAAGAAGGAGATGATGGTGATAGAAAACATAAGCAGGGTTGATTTTATTCTATTGTTCAATTTGGATTGCTAGATTTCTATTTCTATAATGTGGGATAGGTATTTTTTTATTAAATGTTGCTAAGTGCATTTTTAAGTTGACAGTATTTGTTGAGTCCACTAAATGTCCAAACCAAACTCTACCTGCATCTGAATGTTTTGACTGTTTTTTGTCTTGGTCAAGTGTTTGTGTAACCAGTCCTTATTTTATTTTAATTAACCTAGAAAAACTAAGTGTGACTAATTATCTAAAAATGCCTTGCTTTGAAAGAGCTTTCATACACATCAAGCCATTGCATTCAACACAATAGATGCATACATAAATATGAAGAAGAAAAAATATGTATGCTTTTAATTTATTTCACAAATGACAAATCTAAAAAGTATCGTTTCTCCATGATGTCCCCCTCCTCCCTTTGATACCCCAAAATAATATCCAATGCATTCAGCTGAATTCTGAATAAACAGCTGTGTGTAATATTACCTCTGTATAAAATTAACTTATATTTATCGGGCCTGAGAGTTTTGTGGTAAGGAAAATATAATTAAACAGCATCTTTAAGGCATAGGAACAGACAGGTGAAGGAAAAGGCTGTGTTGCAGTTTTGAATCTCGGTTATATTATAAAACAATAGACCCATTTGCTGTTTGAAAACAAATACCCCTGTGAGAGAAAGTTGCAAAAAAAAGGATGCCAGCTAACAGAGGCGTGTCAAACTATTCCATTGCATTATCTATGGAAAAATTAAATTACTTTTTCTTTTCAAACACTAATCATCATAAATGAAAACCAGCTCAAGGTCTGTTGAAGGAAATTATAGGTTTAGTAAGTGGCTGTGCACTTTCTGCTGTAGAAATCAGCTTGATTTATCCAAAAACACTCTTTTTGTTTAATACTTCAACAACCCTATGAGGTTATTTCATTTTGCATGAACTGAATACAGCAGCCTATTATTCAGTGAACAGTCCCACCTTACATGGTTCAACATGAGCTGATGGAAATGGCAGAAACAGAACAACTGATTCTGTACCCTAAAAACCCCAAGGCTAGGGCAACATTTGCACTGCATCTGCCTTTTTTACAGAACAGTATTATGAAGCAACCACCAACACCTTTTAAACATCATGTACCCAAAAGAGAATACAAAATTTCAAAGACTTTCACTCAAAATAAAGTAAATAAATATTTATTTCTTAAGGAAAAATACACATGCATTTGTTTGAGTATCTATGAAATCCTAGGTTTCTATTGAAATAAAAGTTTAGACACATAAACATAGCTGATATAAATTAGGCACTGCAGACGTTTTTTTTTTTAACTGATTAGTTACCCAAAGTTATGGGTTGCCCTGAAATGATCCACACAGCCCCTTAGTATGCAGCAGAACTGCTTAAGTTCATTTAAGAATTTGTGTTTGAACAGCTATAAATGCAACAACCTGTCTTTAGATGTGGTTTTGTTTCCTTGTATGTTGGGGGGAAAAAAAGAAAAGAAAAAAACAAGAGCTTACAGCTCAGCTAGAATAGTCTTGATAGATCTGACTCTTATGAAAGGGTAGAAAGATGGGAACCATTACTGAAAAATAAGTCAGAATTTCACTGTGCTAGAAGCATTAACTCACTTGGTTTAGTATTTTATTTGCAGAAAATATGGAAACCCTGAACTATACTCCTTTACTTCTAAAGTGCACTATTTTACTTTTTCTTGCACATAAAATCCTGTTAAATAAACATTACAGTATGTAGTTGACAGGTGAATACTTTTGCAAAACACTTTTCATAACTGTGGCAAACCTAAAGAAGAACAAACGGCTTTCAAAACGTAAAGCTGAACATAAGGATCATCAAACACCATTCTTTTTACATGGGATTAATGTTTGTAACAGCCTCAGTGTTGCCCTTTTTTCTCAATAATTTTTTATCATGCTTCCAGGGTGCTAGCATCTTCTTATTCCTGAACCTTAATTTGAATTTGGACATTTGCTTCAGGTTATTATGGGGCTTTTAGCCAGAACTGACTGCTGCTTTTCAAAACTCTAAAGCTCCTCATTAACAACATTGTTAATTTAAAGAATCTAAATATTCCTCATTTTAAATATGGCTGTTTCTATTCAAGGAAAAAAAGACAAAGCAGTTGCATGAAAGAATTTATCACATAGGTTCAGTTCAGCCTTATATGTTGTAATGAGCTCTGTTCTGGTGATTTCACTCTGTTAATTGGTCCCTGTTTGAGTCTGAATGTGTGGAACATGAGCACACATTGTGTTTTATGTCTTTTTTCTGTCTCTGTATACCTATTAATAAAAATAAAACTAAACTTTCATACATACAACTAAACAATGGGCCAATTATATTGAGGAATGACACAAAACATGTACTTCTAATAGTAATAAGATGAAGCTGTACATCATTTTATCCATCCCACATTTTATCAGATTTATCAGTTACATAGATTATTATTATTTTCCTCTTTATGGGTCTTAATGGCTCGTTTTGTAAAAAGTTGGACCCTGAGGAAATAATCCCTTTTTTTAAAAAGCTAATTAAATTTAAAACTCAACTTGATCCATAAATAATTCTTACTGTTTGATAAAAAGAAAATCAATGTTACAAGTTGAACATCTTATCAATCATGGCCTGGTTTTTCATAGGCAGCCAAATAAACGTTTTTTAATCTCTTCTTTACTCCCTTTCATTTCAGCCATGAGAGAAACCAAAGAGGCCCTGGAGAACGTCAGTGTTTCTCTGGTGGTCTTGCAGGAAGGAGAAAAAAAACTTCATTTCAACCTAAGCCGAATCCGCAACAGCATCAACCGTACCCTCGATGACCCTGGCTGCCTTGATGAAGAATCGGACGCCACCACAGCCCAGCTTTGCCGCAGCATCCGCCAGTCTTTGTCCCAGCTGCAGATTAGTGCAAATTTCACCCGGGTATGAAAATAAATGTTTCACAGTCTGAGAGGGGAGAATGCTGTGAATCTCTTTAGTCTGTTCATAAATGTAATGAAGTTGAAATTAAATTAAAAAGTTAATTATCACCTCTGTAGCAGTGGGAAGATGTAACTTTGATTTAATGACACCAATACATATCTGGACTGCTACAGGGGAAGACTTTTAGCAGCTAGGTTTTCTTATCTGTTACATACACTGTATGACCCATGCTTGAGAGTTTATCATGAGAGAATATGAAGCAAGGAGCCAAGCTGGTCTGATTCCTAGTCAAAAACTTTACATCTACACCAAACAAGCTCCCAGTGCCATGGTTAGCGAGTGCATTGAGTTTGGCTAATGAATTGGACAAAACCAGAGGGTTTTCATAAAACAGATAACACCAACATTCCACAGATATCACAACCAATAAAGACAGTGCAAGGATCAGGCTTCTTCCACACTGGAATCAGTAAACACTGGATTCCTGTGGATGAGAAGAGAAAACCACTGATTAAACTGCTGCTGGTTGCTGGGAGATAGGTGAAAGTGGAGTTTTAGAGGATGCAGTTCAAAATGTAGTTTTATAATGTCAAAGTGTTACCCTGAAACTGTATAGGCTATAGTACTATTAATAAAAAAAAAACATGCATAAAGCTTTATGTAACATAAGTAACATGATCATCCTAAAGCATTATGCCCTTAGCTGAGAATTTTGAAACCTTATTTTATTTTACATTTGGTGTGCATATAATCACAACTCTGTGTTAAAAAAAAAAAATATTTAGGATGGCACATTTTTCCAAATGCTTTTTCAGCCTTTTTCTGCTTAAAATGTCTGGTAGGAGTTCATATTTCTTGCCCATATTATAGTATTTTCACTTTGTAAGGTAATCAATTCTAGCTTTATTCGGAATATTGTGTTTGCCATCTGCTTAATGAGTATAGAAAAACTTACAACAGTGATAAACCAATGACGGCGTCATCTTCCCCTTGCATCAGTATTCATGTTTATTATTGTTGGTTTTTCTGCTGATTTTTAGCTCCCTGATGTGAACCCTCAACTGGAAAAGATGAAAAATGTTGTGAAAACAGATCTCAGCTCTGTTGTCCACAGGGTAAGAGTTAATTAATTACTGAAAAGATTTCACTCAACACTTTTAAATTGGTTTTTATTTTTGTTTTTAGTTTTCAGTTTTTATTATTGTTAACAAAAATAACCAATGCCTTCTCCATTTCACAGGGCTTCTATGCTTTGAATGACACCCCACACATGGTCATTGAACAGACCAGAGCTGTTGTCATGAGTGAGTGTCTTTTAATAGCAAAAAAAAACTACATTTCGGAATCCTATCTTTCTGTTGCTTTTCAGAGCTTTAGGTCTCTTCATGCTTTTAACTGATCTGTCTTTCAGGCATACAGAATTTGGTGGGCAGCGTCGGTAACAACATCACCAGTTTCTCCAAAGTTTTTCCAGTGCAGACATGCCTGTCCAACTTCACCATCTTCATCAGCCATGCACACGCCAAAATTGAAGATTACTATCCTGAAATTGATCAAATAGATTTCTACAGGTGATCTGACATCCTGATCCTTATCTGTTCATAATAAAACAAAACATCTGAATATATATAGTGAAGGAAAGATGAAAGAAGATGCAAAACTTGTCATTATTTTGTTATGATAGAAAATAAATTAATCCCTTTTTTATACCTATAAGCAACTATCAAGGAGAAAGACAGGAATGTTTGAGTATATTATATCCGAATCTAAATAAATTCACAGGGTCTTTCAATAGCTTCATGCACTAAAATGTAGACAAACTGGTTTGTTTTTAAAACAAAGTGGTTACTTATTATTCTTTGTGACAGCTGTACATATTCTCATCTGATATATTACGTACAGTATATTTTATGTATTGCTTCTATCAGTAGTTCAATGCTTTTTTTTTGGTTTAACCTATTGTATCTTGTAAAAAAAAAAAAAAAAAACACAGCTCTTTTACTCAGAATAATAAAAAATAGACTATATCCAATTATTTTGTATGACATTAAGGCCACTGTCCAGTGAAAATGTATTTAGCTTCTGCTTGATGTTAACAGATGGATTGGCTGTATTGCTCTGTGCTGCATGGTGGTTCTGGTCTTGGCCTTTAACTATTTGGGCCTTCTGTGTGGCACTCTGGGATACGACAAGCATGCCTCACCTACAACACGGGGATGTATATCCAATACAGGAGGAACACTGCTCATAGCGTAAGTCTTCATTGAAGAAGTCGAACACTTTTTTCTTACTCAGACTCCTTTAACTCTCCAACTGTTGTTTCCAAACATAATTTTCTCTCTTAATATTTGACATATCTGACATAATTAAAGGTGTGCTATGCTAAACGGAAGAGAAAACTTTGGAATGTCTTGATAATAATCATAAAATAAAAATATTCACAGTTATAGTTTTAACCAGATTTAACTATTATCACCTGAGTTCAAGTTTGCTTTGTACCACAGCGGCGTTGGATTTAGTTTCATTTTCTCCTGGGTGCTGATGGGGCTGTTGACTGCCATGTTCCTGGCAGGAGGAAACATGGAGAAACTCCTCTGTGAGCCGTTCCACACCAAAGAGCTCTTCAAGGCAAGTGAAGAAGCAGACAAGCGTTCAATTATTTCCAAACACTTGCTTGTAATTCTCAATGGGAACAGAAGGAGTTCTTTGCATCATAAATGTATTGCTTTAACACAAACTCAGGAAAAACAGATGATGTTGCTTGGACTGATTACGGTTTCTACTGAGTTGCAAGTGTGTAGAATAAGAAAATATGACTTTGTATGAATTTGAAGTCGATATTTTTGAAAATTTCTCTTCAGTAGTCTGTCAGGCTGGACCTTAGTGCCTTTGACACTACGGAGTAATTATTTGTGATATTTCTTTTGCTGCTTCCACCAATAACCCATGTCATTATGTGATAACCCGATTTATTGCCTTTAACTGATTGGTTATGGTAGAATAGAATAGAATAGAATAGAATAGAATAGAATAGAATAGAATAGAATAGAATAGAATAGAATAGAATAGAATAGAATAGAATAGAATAGAATATACCTATTGTCCCCTAAAGGAAATTTTTCATGGACCCAGGTTTACAGTACATAGTAGTAGCTGCCATTAGAAGCAATGAATACACATAAAAAATACCAGCTAAAAATAAACAAATAGCCTACATACACACTAATAACACATCCCCTAAGGAATAAAAATAAAAATAACATACAATACTAAAACAACATTGATTTGCCAGATGGACATTTCAACAAAACAGTACAATAGTGTACTATTTGTTAGCTATATTTCTACCAAGTTTACACCAACACGCTTTTCATCATTTTGTTGTAAAGCATATGTGTTAGCATAAATGTTGAGCAGAACTTGAAAAGAAAATGTATTATATACTTTAACCTATTATTTTTTCCCACAGGTCGTGGACAGTCCGTATTTGATCAACCCAGAGTGGAAGAATTTCATCCCTGGCTACCTGTATAATGACTCTGAATTAGAGCTGACGACAGAAAGCTTGTATAGGTAAAGGAAACTCGGATACATACATTTACAACTTTCTGCAGATTTATATCTTGATTTCAAATTTCTTATTTTGATTTAATCTAAAATAATTTCATATAAAAGTATATTTTATAGAGTTTGGAATTTGTATTTAAGAAATTAATAAGCAAAAAATGCATTCCTCTGATATCAAAACTAGGAAGAAATGAGAAAAGTGAGAGTTTTAAACTGAAAAAGACTTTTTGCTCTTTATCTTTCTTAAAATTTTAGAAAGCACTGATGAATGTGTTTTTCTTCCAAGGGAATTAATGTTTTATGTTAGATAATCAAATAAATAAGTTATTTAGATTTTGCTCAAACTTTCCGTTCTGTCACATTCATCGCTTGTGGCTTTGAGTCTCTTGATGAATATTTCATTCATGCAAATGAAGGAGTGGCGGTTAACTTGCCGTAGCTAATTAGAGTCATTTTTATACACCATCAGTGCTGCCTTTCTGCAGCGTATTTCTATGTCATTACATGAGCTTTCATCATCCTACTATTTGATAAGGATTTATGAGTAATCTTGGATGGTAGATCCAAAGTTATTAGGTTTACAAACAAACAGACATGGAGCACTAACACACTGGAGTCAGCCTAGTTGGCTGACTAAATGTTTTCATTTGTGTCTGACATTTGAAGAAGGATTTTAGCTTTTTCTGTAAATTATCCAGCTTCAAGCTTTAAACATATTTCTGTACTTCCAGTCAATTACACATGATGGCAGCAAAGGCTTTCTCTCATGCTCTCCAGTATGTGTATTTAATTGTCTGTTTCTTTTCAGCACTTGCAAAGAGAACAAAGGCATCTACTCTGCCCTCCGCCTGGACAAAGTCTTCAACATCTCCTCATTCCTTAACACTACAGTGGTTAGTAACCTGCACAAACACAACAAATATGAAGATTTAGCCAATCCAATCCAACTTTATTTATAAAACATTGTAAAATTTCTCAAAAGACCTAAGGGCTGTACAGTGAAACAACATAGCACCACTACACACCAGACTCAAAAAACCATACAACCATAAAAGTCCAATTGAAATCAGAAGTATAAAATCTATAATAAAATAAAAATAAAAGTAATTTAAAATAATGTATCAAAGACTAAAATCAACATCTAATACAGTTTAGAAAGCCAAGGCAAAGAGATGAGTTTTTAAGAGCGATTTAAAATCAAACAATGAAGTAAACAATTTAATTTGCAATGGAAGGTCGTTCCAAATTTTTGGAGCTGCCACAGAGAAAGCATGATCGCCCCTAAGCTTCCATATAGTTTTTGGCACCTGAAGAAGCAGCTGATCGGCTGACCTGAGTGAACGGGAGGGTGCATGAAGGTGGAGCCAGAAGAGAAGTGGCCCCTAAACTAAGCCCTGTGGCACCCCATACAATAGGGTAGCAGAGGAAGACTTCTACAGTAATCGCTAAGAGAGACACAGAAAGTTTGGTTTTCTAAATATGATTTAAACCAATCCATTGGCGTAAACCTGATGCCAACCCACTGTGCCTGACGAGAAAGTAAAATTTTGTGGTTTACTGTATCTAAAGCAGCACTTAAGTCCAAAAGTACAAGAATCACACAGTCACCAGAATCTGTGACTAAGAAAGTATCATTAAAAACCCTTAGAAGAGCCGATTCAGTGCTTTCTAATGTTTTAAAACCACACTGGAAAACCTCTAAAATATCATACTCTTCAAAAAAGGCCATCAGTTGATCATAAAACACTTTCTCAATCATTTTTCAGATAAAGGGAAGATTTATGCTGTAGGTTCTGGTTATGTAAATACTAAAATCCAAGAGATTGTTAAAGAAGGGGAAATCACTTTTATCTCCTCAAAAATGTACTGCAGAGTAAACATGATAACCACATAGTGCTATGAATAAGACCATTCAAAACCTTTTAAGACCGAAATGAACCAGATTATAAAGTGTAAATATTTACATAAATAATATTTAATACTAATAAATAGAAATTGCAAATATATACATATTTTTTCTTATGTTGATGTTACATTATATGAATAGGCGGAAAGTCTTTGCCATACTTTGCAATATTATAAATACAAAGCAATTGTAAATGTATCTCAGAGTGCTAAAATATTAGCTCTGTTTCATGTCCCTGTTCCTAATATAAACAGGCATCTAACAGGAATAAAAAGATGAAAAAAAACATCAAACAATAATTTATGACAAAACCTAATGAAATTATTAAGATGTTATGTAAAGAAACGCACAATCCAAACAACAGGATAATCATGCGTCACAAAATGACTGACATAGGCAGTCCTGATGCTCCAAAAGTGGTAATTTGCATTATAATTGAAGGCATGGTAAAATGAAAAATCTGCTCTCAAAGAGCAAAACTATTGGACTGAATGCCCCTTTGAGTGGGTGCATGTACACAGTCTTCTCTGGCTGCTCCTATTGTGGCTTTGTTCACATCTGATTTCATATTAACAAAATCAAACAGATAATGAGTATCAAAGGCAAAGAGGCTCCTAGAGATGATGTTTATAACACTTCTTCATGTAAAGCTTCTTTACTTTAAAAAAAAGGTTTGCAATGTCTTAGACTTTGTAGGGTTTAATTTTGTCCAGTATATCAAACTAAGAGGGAGTAATATTAATATTTAATATATTCTAGTGACTCATTATTGTAGCCAGCAGCTGAGTCATACAATACGTAACATAATTTTGGACATTTATCATTCATCATTGTAATCTGAACTTCTCATGTGAACCTCATAAAATCAGAAAAAAATATCTTGCATTTCGCCCTAATTTAAATTTCTTTCTTTTGCATCTTAACTGTAACAACCATCTTTATCTCAGAAATAATAATGGATCATCTTACAAATGAATTAGAATGGGAAAGTCACACCAAAATCAGAAGGCAACCTTTTTTTTATCTAATTTTATATCATGCAAAATTACAATGATTAAACATTTGGGCCGTGGTGTCAATAACATCTGTATGTAAATAATGTAAAATTATCAGAAAAATTCTATTGACTTTGTCACCCTTTGTTGTATTATAGATGTTAGTAGACCTGTTAAGTTGTATTCTTGATACTAAAACGGATTGACTGGTTTGACTGCTGTAACCATTGTGTTTATTATCCAATCAGACTTTTCGCAAGCAGCCAAAAAGTCAAGTTAGGAGGATTAAGTTTCATTAGGTATTTTTAAGTGTATAAAGTGGCTTTATATGATAAATAATACATTGCATTAAATTGTAATCCTGACATGAAGCTATTTAGTTATAAAAATTTCTCATTAACTGTACCAGGGCTCAGGAGATGGACATCGGTATCACCTTAAAAAGTGATAAAAATGTTTTTTTTTACTCCTTTCTTACACTTGGAAGTAGATAACTTTGACTTTAAAACATTTATTGTACTCTGCTGAAAAAAAGCACAAAGCAAAAAAATTAAAAGAAAAGAAAAAAGAAAGAAAAATCTTGTATGCAAGGCGTATTTAGTTTTCTGGAAAATCCTAAACTTTTGTCATGGTCATACAGTTAGCCGGGAAATGACTTTATTGTCCCAGTGTTCTTTTTACAGTCTTTATGGTGGCACACACACAAAAAAACATCCCTCTTGTCTGGGAAATAGGACATTCTCTGGTTAAGGCATTCCTTTACAAAACCAGTTCTACCAAGAAATGATGATGTTTGTGGTTCTGAGAAGAGCTCAAAAGAATAAGGATACCTAGTGAAATCTTTTGTTATGTCGGCTGTCAGTCCACGTAGAGTTGGTGCACGCAGACACAACAAATACAGCTCTAAAGCACAGCTGGAGGGCAAGACATTGTCAGGAAAATACCAACAAATGCATTTCTGAATTGAATATCTGCAGCAGAAAAACAAAGATAGAATATTTGAACAAACACGATCCACATCTGTGTTCATCCATTGAGTAATTCACAGTCTCTGGAAAAATTTTTACCGTGCTAGTCACATGTTTACATGCCGCTATCATCACCACTAGGAATGGCATATTATTTGGAACTGTTAAATTTTCTTTTTCAGTTGTTCTGTTTTCAGGGTGCAGTGATTCAGTGGCAGGTATTATTTAAAAAAAATAATCTGATGCACAAGTTGTAATTAACACAGTCTTTTTCTCATTGACAGGGGACAAAAATAACAGATAATTCATCTACTAATATTTTCTCATATCAGTTTTTCTTAGAGTTTTTTTTCTCAGAAGCAAATGACGGTTTTATTAGGCTGCATCATAATATATTATGCAGCTCTGTAATTATAAATAACCTTTTTATTGGCATGTCATTATCCAGGGGACAATGGTTTAATTTGTGGTCATTTTCACAAAAAGAACAGTCAATGAGCTCTATGTGAGATCAAACTACTATTGAAATATCATCCAGAATAGAAAATTGCTAGAAAGTTCAGCAAAGCTCCTCTGGCATTTTCAATTCACTCCATGGCTCTTTGGCTTTATTATTACACTAAATGTGGAATCTTTGGGTTTGTGTCTGTCTGAATTCATCAAATTAGGGTTTTATTGTCAATATTTTTATGTTTATGCATGAGACAGATGGAGATGTCAGACGTCAATGATGGGATGACAGACGTGGTCTGTGTGTGTGCATTAAAGGAGATTTTGCAGAAAGTTGTCATGTTTGTTGATGGAGAGCTCATATTAAGCATTCATATCATATGTTTTCATTGACTGTTTTTGAATCAAAAGATTTTTTTTTGTATTATTTTCATGTTTTTTATTTTGTTTACATTTCTGTAGCAGCTTCTGACAAGCATGAAAGTTGTAGCCCTGCTACTCATTAGTATCTTTATAACATTATTGGGGCGGTAATTATGCAGATTCACTTTCCTCATTAACACACACAGGGAAACTTGCATCATGTTTACAAGGCTTATTTAGGAATTTTACTGAAGTTAAGAACGTTTGTTAAATCTGATGTTTCTTATTCGTTAAAGCCCAAGATAGGAAAAAACCTAAGAATTTTATGACAAGAATTAAAATAAATGTTGTTGCATGAGGTCCAGCATGAGTGAATAAAGTGATATCCATGACAGTGAGTTTGCAAGAAATACAGTCTTCAGTGTTGGTTGATGAGAGGGGTGGTATGGTATCAGCGTTAGCCTCAACACTATGGAGGATGAGCTTTACCATATAAATAAATGCTCAATAAATAAAAAAGCACACCATTTATTGCCCCCCAAATATACAATAAACAAATAAATGTTGGTAGAAATTAAATTATACAGTGAGACATAAATGTATATATGTCTTTTAATTAGCTTCTTTATTGATTCTCCTTTGTAATAATTCCCTCATTTATTTATTGTCCATTATAATCTTCAACTTTATTTATTAATGACTGATTTTCTTAAGTATTTATTTATATGCATGTTATAATATTTTTACCCTATTTATTTCTTCAATGCTATTTATTTCTGCCCGTCGTTTTTACATTTCTGTATGCATTTCTGCCTTTTTATTTCTGTATTTATTTTTAAATATGGTAGAGCTGGTCCACCATACAACACCCACCCCAAACCATCCTTTTCAACTATGTATAACTTCTGGTAAAAAAAAAACAATCAAATATTTATTCAGAAATAGATTACCAATATATTGAAAGCAGTTCACCAATATAGTTGGTGTTATGATTTTACCCTGAGAAATTACATGTTTCAGTAAATCGTCAAATCTTCGACATTGATAAAGAACATGACTAGATGTAAAACCATAATTATGAATGTTAAACATTAATCATATAACAATATATTTTCATTTTTAGGTTAAAAAACAAAACTACTTTTCAAAACGTAATTCAAAAACCATTAGCTGTGGCTATAATGTATCATGCTACTATCAGCATTTAAATATGTGAATAATTAAATATTTAAAGCCATAATGAAAAGAACATTTTTGAGAAAAAACTAATTTAGTGAAAGCTATTTTTATAGGGCTCCTCTTTAAGGTAGGTCATCAGATGTTGGCATTTTTCACTCCAGCTTTAATGTGTTGTAAATGTGTTTGTGTATATAAGGAAACCAAAGGCCCTGTTGGTGATCAGGTTTGAGCAAAAACCTCTCATGAAGTTTTGTGTAAAGATATTAGAGCAGCTGAGGGTCACAGAACAAGCTGTTGTTGGCATAAATTAACATCTATTTAGCTTTTAAGATTTAAGCAGGTTTATAAAAGGGATTAATTAACTGAGGACTAATTGTTACAGACCTTTCACCTGTTTTAGGATAACATTTGGAATTTTCCATATTGAGTTTGAGAATCCCTGTTCTGGATAGTTATCCACAGCTTTTCTTATTGCTCCAAAACCCCTCATGCCCTGTTGTGTTTGCAGTTCACTAAGGATGTGGTGCGCCAGCTGGAGAGCTTCCGGATCGACCTGAGAGGAATAATCTTGTTAGAGTCAGAGGGGAAGCAAAACCTCCAAGATTTCTCTGAAGCAGGCCTGTCAGAGATTAACTACGCGGACTTCCTTGAAGAGGTGACATTTGATACCTTAATATAGGAACTAGAAAACAAGAGAAAAAAAACCTGGTTAAAAGCAGGTGTTGTCAATTGTTTAGGTTCCGTTGCTTTAAATGGCCAATGTTAGAGAAAAGAAAATTAACATCTTAATGATTTTTTTTTTATTGAATTACTAAATCATCAACAACTAAACTTTAAGTTATGTTCTGCTGAATTCAGCTTATACTTTGATATCCAGTTAAATCCATTCTTAGCAAAATGGCGTGAAGGGACATTTGTTCTATTCCTCAGTTCGACCTCTTGGGTTCACCTAAATTAAAGGCAGTATAAGAATTTTTAAAATATATTTATTTTCAGGCCTTCTGCTCGTAACAAGTGGTGAACAGACTTATCCAATACATTGACAGTATTGATACTATCGTGGTCGACTTGAGTTTTAGATTCACTCTTAAATTCACTGCTGCTGTTTGGTGTAAAAGGCAGCGGCATGTTTATATTTGTTCTACACAGGCCAACAGTGAGGCTCCTTCAAGATTTTTTTTTTACTTTTACTGTTTGATAAGTTTGTACAATTTTTCATTTTAGTAAAATCATGAAAAACATTTACAAAACACACTCTCTTTTGTGGAATATGAATAACAATAACTAAGATGCATCAATAAAATAAAAAATTCCCCTCATGAGCAGTTTGTGTATTTAATAAAATACACAAAATGCACAAACCGCACAAACTGCGGAATACCCTAACCCTAGTGTGACCTAGGGTTAGGGTATTCCGCTTAGAATCCACAGTTTCTGAGTTCAAACCCCACTCCCACTGACTGACACTCTGGGTCCCTGAGCAAAAGACCCTTAACCCCACACTGCTCCCCAGGTGCCGCACAATGGAAGCCCACTGCTTCCCAAGGGGATGGGTTAAATGCAGAGAGATCATTTTGTTGCTCTGTACTTGTGACATTGTAAATACAATAAAAAAAGTTGAAAAGCTTAAAAAAAAACACCAGGCCGCCACTCTCAGGAAATAAGTAAGTACCATATTCTCCGGTCTATAGAGTGCACCTCACTATAATATAGACATATAGACAGATTTATTTTGTCATTTATACATGAGTGTATACAAAAACAAATCTCGTTTAAAACAGCCTAAAACAGCTATAAGCTGCAGCCACAAAATTTTTTGAAAAAAAAGCAAAAACTTACCCTTAGCAAAAAGTAGTATACCTGAAATAAATTCTATTAAGAATACTTAAGTATAAGTTTAGAAAGTATACCCGAACAATGTACTTTTAGTGTACTTGAAGTATTACTAAAGTAATACTTCTTCGAACTAAATTGGGACATTTTTAAGTTTACTAAAGTATACTTAAAATATACTTTACTAAACAATAAAGTAAACAACAGTATAGTCAAGTTCAGTTGACTATACTATATACTAAGTATATGAAATATAGTTTAGAATAAGTAAACTCTAAGTGCACTGCCTGATTTTAAGTATGAAAATCATGCACTTTTAGTATAGCCTACTTGAATAAAAACTACCTTTTGCTAATATATATATATATATAAAATTAGGGGTTAATTTTCATTTAACACAAGAACATGGTAGCAGCAAGCACGGTGGAGAACAAATGTCCCGGATTCATACATTTTGCCATTTATTTGTCTCATTAAAGCTGCCAAACCAATGGAGAGACTGAGCTCAACTCAGACTGGGCTAAAAAATGGACAAAACCCCTTTTTTCAGTAGAAGCTCTCACTGCTGTGAGCCAACAAGCTAATGGGAGCTAGCATTCTTCTTCGTCCCATAGTCCAGGGGCTATATATAGAGCTCCCCCTACAGGTTTGGTGGGAGACAGCTCAGTAGATATCAGCGGATTATAGCCTGGTGTGTTATATATATATATATATATATATATATATATATATATATATATATATATATATATATATATATATATATATATATATATATATATATATATATATATACATATATATATATATGTATATATATATATATATATATATATATATATATATATATATATATATATATATATATATATATATACATATATATATTCTTCTACTGAAAAAAGGGGTTTTGTCCATTTTTTAGCCCAGTCTGAGTTGAGCTCAGTCTCTCCATTGGTTTGGCAGCTTTAATGAGACAAATAAATGGCAAAATGTATGAATCCGGGACATTTGTTCTCCACCGTGCTTGCTGCTACCATGTTCTTGTGTTAAATGAAAATTAACCCCTAATTTTATTTCCAACTATCACTTCCTCCTCTGGCGGTTAGGATCTTCTTATAAGCTACATGGTTCAAACAGTGGGGGAAAAGTAGCGGCTTATAGTCTAGAAAATACTGTAATAGTTGCATACAGTGTTAAATGTAAATCCTCACTTTCTATGTCATTCCCAAAATCCAGCGTGTTTCATTATAAAGAATGAAAGCCTAAAACCATAAAACTGACCAATTGTCAGCATTTATCTATCTTTTCTTCAGCCTTTAGTGAAAGCCTCCACACTGAAGAGTGTTGTCACTGTGGGCTGGAACTTATTATACCCTGTTTACTCCATTTAGCCTTCCTATTATGTGTTGACGGTCTGAATCTCACTCTCTTGCTGCATTTAAATAGCAAACATATCAGGGCAAGAAAAAAAAAACAACTCTTTACTTTTGAAACGCTTATTGAACCTCTGTGCGTCCTCCAACCTCCTTTATTAAACAACTGATACATTGCATTCCCTTTTTTTTCTCTCTTAAGGTTAATAAAGGTGTCACTGTGGTGGATGTTGTCTCGTTCGCCAAAGAGCTGGAGTCCCAGACAGACCTGATGGTAAGGAAGCTGATTTGGCCTCTTTTGTTGATGCAGTTTACGTTGACGAGTTTTATATAACCTTTTCTCTCCATGTTGTTATTTTTTATGCATCTATTGACTTAAAATGCTGCAAGGAGGCCTTGGTCTTTGTAAATAGTCTCTATTGGTGTGCAGATTTGGTTGCGCTGGCAAACACAAAATAAATGATCCTTTCCAAATGCTGAAACTAAATAAGATCATTAAAAATGTATGGTTGGGTAAACTTTAATTTAATGTCTCAGTTTATTGTTTCATTTTATTTTTATAGATTTGGATTTAAGTGTTTCTTGCTGACTTTGTAATTATTAAATAAAAAAATGATTCTTTCTGTGATGTCTGATTGACGACAACTAAGGAAAGCGTTGTTGTCTGTTACGTGACAGAAACGTTTAAGAAAAGAACTCTCCCCGGGCAGCAGGAATCTGACGAATGCAGTCTTTTGTTTGTTTCTTTTCTTGGGAATAAACCTCAACTTGTTTTCTGTCTTTTATTTCAGCCCAGGGGACGTCTGCAGACAGCTCTGAAAGGCCATGTGGCCACTCTTCAGCGGATCCACAGACAACAGATAGCTCCAATGGAGCAAGCCATGGTAATCCTCGCTGTGTCCAAGAAAGTTTTTCCAGAACTTTGGTTATGAGTAGACCAGACTTACATAGTTAGCTTTCCACATAGAAGTAATATGAAAATATTGACATACTTTCAACAATTTCCAACTTTGTTTTTTACTCGGAGCGTCCTGAGAAAGTCCTAAACGCAGCATTTAGGAGAAACTTGGTGGTTTTAAAGATATTAAATTCAGTTTCAATCTCTATGTAAGATTTCATTGTAGATTAATATGATTTGATATTTCTGAAAGTAGGTTTGTGTTTCTTGTAAAGTTCCCTGAGATTAAACATTTGTGTTTGATAATAAAATAAAAAAAACAAATAATATAATATTTTATAGTTCCTTTTGGCCTGTTTAGTGTAATCATTATTCTCTTTTCGCTATGTTGTACTTTTGCCGGTTCACTTTCTTTCCCTAAATTCTTAAATTAAATCAAGAAATCCCTTATCAATGTTCCTGCCTTTACAACCAGATATTTGAATTTAATTTGGCAGCGTTGAGAGGGGTTTTATGTAAATACAACTGTGGTCAAATTTTATGTTGAAAATGTGCAAAAAAAATAAATCAATAAAAGTACTACTATTGTTATTATTTATATAACTAAGGAAATATACATATTTTTAAACAGAAAATCATTCGAAATTTACTTTTGTTTGGTTTGATGTTGTTTGGTAAGTTCTTTGATATAATAAATCAGTGCTTTTGACCCCAGGCCTGTGTCATAATAGACATTTTCTCAGTGAAAAGCAGCACCTCTTTTTCAGATATTATCTAGGACGTACAGCATCAAGCACTTTTGGTTCTCTCTACAACTTTTATTTATTTATGTTTTTGCTGTTCTTCTTGTTTCTCTGTTCACCTTCAAGAAATATGTTAGAGCAAGGGTAAGCACAAATGTATTTATGATATGCTTTGTGTCCCTTTTTACAGAAAGCTTTAAAGAAACTGAATCTTTCAGATGTTATGTTTTGTTGAAAACACAGTAAATTATTTTTTTCTTCTGTTGTATGTATATGCTCATCACAAACATGTGGCTTATATCAAAGCCTTCATGCCAAAATAGTACAAAATATCCACCTAAAATTTTTTTATATTTGTCAATGATAAAACAAAAGAGACATTTTTTATGTTTCTTTTTGTTTACCGGTACATTATGTATTTTTCTCTCATCACATCGTGGATATTTGATTTTGGGAAGAAAATCATCCAGCTTGACAACATTTTCATCCGTGTAACTCATCATATTTGTGTTGCCTTCAGTTTTCTATAAGTCTACCTTTGACTTCTAGCACTAATCTCTGATAATGCTTATTTTTTTCTCTTTTCTAAGAGTGCATTAAACCAGAGTATGAGATTTCTGGAGAGGACAGCCTCTGATCTACCAGTAAGAAAACTCTACACTATAACACCTCATAGTTAACACATTTACAGTTGCATCCATACTGACTCTCTTCTCTACAGAATAAAGTAACAGATGTTCTTGAGGCCATTGAAGCAGCTCAGCACCTTATCTCTCACAATGCAACACTTTTGATCAATCAGGTAAATAAATCATATCAGTTTGTATCCTTAGTAGTAATAGTTATGTTAAACTAACAGCGGTTGTTCCATTTTGTTACAGGAAACAAGAAAGTATTCAGCAACCATTATTGGCTATTTTAATCAATACATAGAATGGGTCAAAACATCAGTAAGTGTTGATCTACCATTTGAGAACATGATGTGGTGTTTTGTTTTTCAACATTATATGTAGATGTTTATTGCAATGAGTTTAACCAGGATGCATTTTGAGGAGTTATGAAAAGGCTCTGCGTTATGAAGTGGGGGGGGGGGGGGGGAATCTTGCATAAGAGTTTTGGGGTAAATTTAGAAAGGATGACTATAAAAGCTACAGTGCTTTTTTAATTGAAGGAATTTGCTTTGAGGCGCATTGGTTTCTGCTGCAGTAAAACCAAGGAATTCAAACCAATGTAAAAAAAAATAAGACGTTTTAGTTCTGATTCACGGACAGGTCAATAAAACTGCTTTGATTCAGTCTTAGTGTTTTTGTTGTTATTGTGGAACAGGAAGCATACACAGATCTGGTGTGCAACAGTTTAGAAATGTTCGTGTTTACTCCTTAATGTGCTTTAACATTTCCTGTTTTCATTCTTTCTAGTTGGCTTTGGAGGTCGCACCATGCAAGCCTTTCAGCAACGTGTTGGATACAGTGCAGATCATGACCTGTAGTTTCTTGGTGGATTCAATGGTAACCACTGTAGAACTAGTAACGACAGATCCAACATAACCAGGCCTTATGCTATTATAGTTTTTCTCAATCACTTTGGTGCATTTCTTACATCAATAGTAACATTTACACAACAGGTAAACGTCATATCAACAAAGTTTTAGGCAAAAGATTAATTGTAAATAATACATCCGCACAAGGAAAACTAAACATATACTAAACTCTCTTGTATATACTACTAAACTTATACTACTAAACTCTTTTGCATATACTACTAAATTCTGTTGCATGTACAACTAAACCTATACTACTAAACTCTGGTGCATATAGCACTAAAATGCAAGTGAATAGTTGTGATTCTGTGTTTATATCAGCATGTAAGATAAATTTTGTCCCATGGGGCTTCTAATACATAAGCAAAACTTCAGACACTTAATAATAGACACAGAGCATAACATCAGGCAACTTAAACCCAGAGTGTTCTATCTTTGTCCTCTTTAGTATGATATATAAAATTAAATTTTTGATGAGTAAAAATTTACATGGTATTCTACACTATATACTAAACATACATTAAGAAGTTGCTAGGGACCAGAAAAGCTAGGACTAAAAACTACCAAGTCGTAACACATCAGCACATTTTCATTGGTTTACAATCTTATCTCCAGCCATACATCCAGTTCTGAACAGGTTTATCTATTTTGATAGGACATTCATATGAAAATTGGATCATTTTAAAATGCTTCCTAATCTGACTCCATGATCAAACTAAAAGGGTGCGAATACACATCTATCCGTCTTAATCTGCATAGTCTAGTTTGCCAACCAGTGTCTTAGTTTTCTGATTTACATGATCAAAGGCTTTAGAAGCATCTTAGAAACATTAAAACAACTTTAACAACTTAAATTCCTTAACTCCTTAAATTCCTTGAAGACATATATGCATACACCAGTTCTATATTATAAAGCACAAATTGAATATCAGCTGAGAGCAGTTATAGTACATTACAGAAGCATTCAAACCTATTTACATTTTGGCATATTAAACTGAATAGATGCTAAGATTCATCTCTGTAAGACGAAACTAAGGTCTAGCCTCCAAAGCTCCCAACCTCCAATCAATAAGATTAGGGAAATATTTAATTTTTCTGTATAGTAAGTGAGAAGCAGAAATAATGAGCCATTTGCTGCTCCGGAATCCCCAGATAGAACAGATAAAAGCCGTGATTCCATCTGCAGCTAAAATCATTGTTAATCATTGTTCAAATAAAACTGTAAAGGTTAAAAATAAAATAGATCCAGTCAGTTAGGGCTTTCATGCCAGTGCATAGAAATTCATAACAAATGTTTTTACCATTACAACCTTTGTACAGGGGCCATAATAATAAGGTGATGACCAGTTTTATGGGTGAGTAATTCCCTGTTGGCCCCTGTCTAGAACCAGCCATGGTAGTAAGCTGTGGGTTTTCTTTCTGGGTTTTTTCTCTAAAACACGTCGATGTGTCAGAATTTATCCCCGAATTGTCTATAAGTCTCCACAGAATGACAATTTAACAATTGAGCATCTTGCAAAAGATTCATAAAGCATAATCATTCTAACACATCAATATACATTCACTTTAAAGATGAACCTGCACCTCAGTCTCCAGGATTTTTTAACCTGTAAGAGGTTTATCTTTTACCACAAATCATTCCAATGAAACATCTTTATAAATATATTTTGAAAAAAAAAGGAAAAAAAATCATTATAATTTTAAAAACGAAACAGTTCTTCTCTGTTAAGTCAAATTAAATTTTAGGATGCCCATTTGTTGAAACAGATCAAATAGATTAATAGGAGGTATAAAATTTAAAGATGTGTAAGATAAATTAACCTCCAAACAGGTTTATATTTGTAGAAACTAATGCTGATATAGTTAACACCATCCTTCTTTTGCAGGGTAATTTGCAATGTTTTCAATAAGATCACCCAATACGATATGGTTAATATTGTGGTCATAATGTGACAGAAAGTTTAAGGGATGTCGTTACCTTACAAGGCATAGTACTGGGTTGATTAATGCTGATTTAACATGTTAAATTCTCTTTCCAACAGAACACTTTCTGGATGGGTCTGGGCTGCAGCACTCTATTTTTTCTCCCAAGTGTAATACTAGCGGTGAAACTAGCCAAGTACTACCGCAGGATGGACACAGAGGACGTCTACGATGAGTAAGTTGTTTTTCCACACATATATATTTTATTGTATCTGCTGTAAAGCTGCAGTGTGGATTTTGTCAGTTATATCTGAATTGGGATCAATGGACCTAAACAAACATTATTTACGTTTTTTTCTGATTGCAGGACATCCTTCCCTTTATTAAGCTTATCAGTATTTAGCATCCTAATATAATTTGATAGTTTTCTGTTTCTTAAGCTTTCTTAAAATGCTCTGTACCCCTGAAACTCTTATAGTTTGAATTATTTTGTGCTTACTTTTCTCTTCCTTGTAGCTCCTCTGTATCTGGGACTTGGCATTTTACTTTGTGATAACCATTCATACTATTTCCATCTCCCACATTTTTTATTTAAATTTTTTTTCCTTCCTGTCAAGCACTTTGCACTTTACAAAAAAAGACACGGCGATACTAGTCTGCTCTTATTTCGTCTTCATTTCCAGACTCTGTGGTCTCATAGCTTTTACTACTTTGTAGTATTTCTGTTATGTGTCAGCTGATTAAGTGCATCTTCTTCTGTGTAATCAGTGTTGGATTGTACAGAAGGACATATTGTGGTGCATTTCTTTGGCTGAACATCCCGATAAATATTTTTATCTTATTGTATCCTGTGTATCTCTGTAGAGTTGAGACAATTCCCATGAAAAAGTAAGATGTTCTTCCCAAACATCTTAATTTTAACCTCTCTCACTCCATGCTTTTCTTTCCAAATAATGTATATAGAGAACTGTTTACTAAATTATTGGTGCTTGTTTGTAATTATGAGCTTCAAAACTGCTGGTGTGAGTGGATGATGTGGCTTTTCGTCGTGTGCTAAATTTAAGAAGTGTCCCTTAAAGTACCTTTCACGAAGGGCTCTTGCAATCATTAAAGTTTTTTTTTGTAAAATATTGTCTAAATAAAGCACTAAAGTTTATACTGAGGTCATAACTATCTCATAATGAACCATTTTTATTCAGCATGTCATCTTTCTCATTTTCATCCCATCATTGTTTACAATGTTTTATTTTTCAGTATGGAAATTGGTAATAATGGTTATCATATTGAGAGTTCACAAGGTGTTCCTAACCCTGTGATGACAAGGTAAACATCCTGTTTGTCCTGCTGACTGCATGTCATGGTGGAGGTGGATGCATGCCTGGGAAAGTTGGCTGGTTTTATAAATTACGGTTTTATAAAGGGCGGTGCATGTCTGCAGGGGGAGTCATTTTAATACACTCACATTTATAGGTGGGTGTAATTATTACTGACGCAGACATTTAACCTGAGAGGTAGTGGTTGCTTTTCTAAAAAAAAAAAAACTACCCAAAGTCATTTTTGTACTTGATGAATATCAGATGGTAACTTTACAGTCTTCTTTAAAGCTGAAATATCATGTATTATGACATTTAGGTTTAATCATCTTTAAGACTGGGGGGTAAGGAAAAAATGGACTATAGACTTTTCATAAATTAGAATAAAATCTGATTCCTATCAGGTCTAACGTTTAAATACAACTTAGAGGTGGAGGAAGAAGTCATTTAATGAAATGAATGTACTGTACAGTGAAATACTAAAATGTCTGAATAAATTAACCAAAACTTAGCTAAAATATCTAATATCCAGCTGTATTTTTATGATTTAAAAAAGCTGAAGGAATATTTGGGTGGTTTACTTTACTTGATAGAGATCTACTAATTTATACACTTTTATATTCAGACATTTTTTTCTTCCAGATGCATCATTTTATTAGTTAGTGACAGACAATATTTTCTATTACCATGTTAAATGAGAACAAATAGAAATGGATGGCGTACCATTGTTGATTCAAGCAAAGAATAATAATTAAGAGCGAAATTATGGTTTTAAAGTTTTTAAGCTTATTTTTAGTGTAGGGAAGTTAGCAACAACAAAAACATGGCCAAATCTGAACACCAGGAATAACTTAACAATTAATTAAATTAGGGCTGGGCGATATAGAAAAAAAGCTTATCGATAAAAAAAAATGCATATTGATCGATATAGATAATTATTGAAAAGATTTGAAACCATATTTTATGTGCAGCTCTGCCTGGACATTTTATGATATTGCTAAATTATTTAATTTTAATAAAGAACACAAATACAGACTTCCAATTAAATATTTATTTAACCAACTTTTTTAACCATAACAGAATTGTTTTAAAGAAAAATAACTTAAGAGACCTGAGTTATGTTATTAAATACTGACAAAGAGTAAACTAAAGTAACCAGAAAAGTGACCAAAATAAATATAACAAATAAATGGACCCCCCCCCCCCACCCCAATTCTTCTAAGCTGAACCTGGTTCAGCTTAGTTTCCTGCTTTAACCTGAGTTAGTAGTTGCTGGCCCCTCAGCATTTTTCTCTCAATTGTTAGAACTACGTGGGAAACTGCCCAGAACTTTATATATAAATTTCCCGAAATTCCCAAAGATTCCTCGGAGGAGAGCCGCGTCGGGGCCTACACAGCTCTACTCCTGCGGCTGTGATGATAAAAAAAAAAAAAAAAAAAAACGTTGGTTGTGTTATCAGACTTGGTTTTCACTGGTTCCCTACACATTTTACAGATGACTGTGGTTTGTTTTTTGTCCGACTTGCCATGACCGAAATACTGCCAAACTGGCGAACTACAAAAACCCTTCTTTGGAACAATTTTCTCCGACTCTCCTTGCTGAGACATCTTCATGTGCTCTGTGTTGTGGTTTGAGAGGGCGGCGCTTTGTGACGTCGTGCCTGGGTCCGCGACTGTGATTGGTTGGGAGGAAGCAGTGACTAGCATAAACCTACACTTTTTTTTTTTTTTTTTTTTTATTGAACAAAATGTATACAAAATCTCGATGAGGTGCAAGAACAATCCAACATAGGTAGAAAAAGTAAAACAAAAAAACAAGGGGCTAAGACTAAAAACAAGCACATAAAACAGTAAGGCAATTGAATAATAATAGAGCAGGGATTTAAAACAAAAGAAAACTTGAGATACTGGCAGTTACTTTTCTTGCAGAAACAGATTTCAAAAGTTTCAGTGAGGTGAAATAAAGTTTAAATTGGTTAAGAAAAAAATCAAAACAAGGAGTAGAACCTCTCCATTTACAGCAGTGTATGTGATATTTCACAAGTAAAAAGATAATATTAACCATGTCAGATATTTTACTATCAAGGCCATCAATATAATATAAAATGTGGGTGATGGTTATCTCAGGAATGTCATCAATTTTAAGGGATAACCAATTTTTAACGTCGCTCCATAGTTTAAAAGAAAAGGGACAGGAAAAAAAAAAGATGATTAAGGGATTCTTCTGGACCATCACAAAAGGCACAACATGCTGAATCAAATTTAAATCTTTTGTGCAAAAATTCAGCCACTGGGTAAAAATTGTGAGAAATTTTGAAATGAGTTTCTTTAACTTTTGGTGAAATTGGCCATTTTACGTACTTGGAGAACGCATTCTCAATTATAGACAAATTGGTTGTTTTTATTAAGATATTATTATTGTAATCATTAAATAATTTAGATTTGAAGGCAGTCACAAGCAGAACATTGTTGCACTTTGAATCGGTCACACTATATTCACCAATTTTTAATTTGGGTAAAGATGAAGTGACATTTGAGTATCGTAGGGTGTTTTGGATGAGATGGATAGCATAAACCTACATGCTAGGCTACAATGAGAAGGAAGGAAAACTGCGTTTTTTTATCGAACTTTTATTGAGCCTATTTTTTTCTATTGCGCCACACGTCTATCGATCGATATATATCGTTATTGAATTATCGCCCAGCCCTAAATTAAATGCTGGCCCAAAATGTCAGGGGCCTTAAAATACTTATTAAATTTATGGAATGGTTTATTATTATTTTTTTATTTATTTTTATTTTTTTGGTGCTGCTGTATATATGCTTATTTTTATTAATTTAAACTCAACTTAAAGGTGATAGCTACAAGGTTACTCCTCCAAGCTAGTTAGTGAAACACTTTCCCACTCTCGTTCTGTACTGTTTGCCAGTCAGTTGCCAGGTCTACTAATCTTTTAAGTATTTAACTTACATGTCCAAAAAGAAAGGGGCAACCTCTGTGTGACCTCTGAGCCCCTTTGCTCCCTGAAGTTTGCACCAATACTCAAAAGCCTAACCAATGTTCAACCATGTTTTGCTTTTCTTTTGTTTGCATTTTGGCTAAAGTCGGAAATCTGTGAGGCTGAGAAGAAACCATTTTTCCAGCTCTATCACAGAGCTACTAGGATCATGCAACGCCTGAACTCCGTGTCTCATGACTTTCAACTGCTGACTCTATTGCTGCAGAATACTTTTATGTTGATGTTTGAGGAACAACCAGAAGCCAATATTAGTATATTTTGGACCCATCAAAATGTATGAAACACTTATTTATATACTTTTTCTTTTCTCATACTTATGGGTGCAGTTGTACCCATAAGTAGCATACAAGTGTTTGATTTTACTCATATCATCAAACTAAAAGCGTTTTTTTATTTTTATGTTATGTTTTGAGTTTTAGAGAGTTTAAAGATTTAGATTTGGTTGTGTTTGCAAGTGGATTACTTTTATTTTTCATTTATTTTTATTTTTTTGCCAGCATAAACTTAGGCCCGAAATGTATCATGCTACTGATGGATTTTTTTACTTTTATTTTTATTATTTTTATTCCCTAAACAGGAATCTCCCAAAAATATAAAGAAGAAATCTAGAATTAATATAAAAAAATTGTTATATATATCTGCATTTAATCTTAAATTTCTTTATTGTGAGATAATAATCAAACTCTTTTTATACATGTTTAAATTCTGTGTAGACAATTTATCGTTTGAAGTTGGAAAGATCTTTACCATCAACATTACGCCAGCTTTTGAATTGTTACTTCCTTTTAGTAAAACGTGAAATGTCTTTTCCAGACAATATCTAAAGCAGATATTCAAAATTTAGTTTCTTCATATTAAAAACCACTCAAAGTTCCATTTTTCACAATTGATTTTTTCAGATACCTCAAATAAGATTAATCAAATTCAAATTTACTTTTACAGAAGCTTGTTGCAGTGAGATAAAGTTAGCAGCAGCTAAGTGCTAGATAAATAAGGGTTGGAAAATGATGAAGACGAAGAAGAGGCTCATATTTGTATATTATATTAGGCCACAATATGTGGAAATCTGCCTCTAAGTGGAAAAGTACAAATACTAAAAAGTCCCTTTTGTCAGTCAATATGAAGATAGGAAAATATACTCTAATGTGAATAGAAAACATACAGTATTTACACAAAGGCATAAACTGTTTTACATGCCAGAAAAAAATTAGGGTTTATTTTGCCAGGAATCAGTCTGACTCCACCCCCCTTTTGCCATGCATCGACTGACCCGAGACCAGGCTCGGACTGATAATCTGTGATACCGGGCATTTACCTGGTGGGCCCGTCCTAATTTCAGCGTGCGAGGGCCGGCCCTCCTTAAATCATATCGCCCCCAACACTTACTCTGTGGCCGAAGCACCTACCTGTGACAGTAAATAAATCAAGGAGCTGAAGAAGTAATACAATGTTAACTACCTAAATGATGCATTCAGTATATATAGCCCTTCCTTGTCATGCACATCCTTGTGACGGTTGGCATATGGTGTCATTTTCTATTTCTTCAAAATGTAAAATCCTTGCAACAAACTGAATTATACTAAAAACTAAAATGCTTTCTTTAAACCAAACTACGATGTTCCTCTTATATTTGGCGAATTTATGTTTGAATATTTAGCAAAAATGTGATGAGGTGCATGATGGGGTTTTGCATCTAAAGGCTAACGTTTCCGGTCTTATGTGCATTGTTGCCAGGTTGGGATGTTTCCCAATCTGGCAGGTTAGGATGGGTAAAAATGTTTTCCTTTAGATTTATGGCATAAAAGATCAATAGACTTTGGTTCAAATTGGGCGAGATTTCGTATATCCAGGAGGTTTATGAAAATTTTTGGGGCTGGAAAACGTGAGTCACTGACATCTGGCAACCCTGCTGAAGTCACTGTCATGGAATGCCAGGAACGTAATGCCAGGGCTGAGTCCCAGTCCGAGCCTGCCTGAGGCCCATGACTGTTTGCTACCACTACCTCACTGTCAGGTGTTAAATGTTCTGCTCTGTTGTCTTCTGGAAACCTGCAGCATCACTAACCATTTGCTTGCTCTCTGATGCTGGGAAATTATTGTGGAATGAAAACTTTCTTCTATTTCCTCCTGCTTAGTGTCAACCAAAGTCCGATGAATGTTCACCTGATCATTTTGTTCAGAGAGAGGCAAGCATGTCACAATTAAGTGTGTCGCTGCATATGGTGCTACTTTTATAATTTTTGCATCTAACCAACTGCATGTCTTATCTGTTTACGTTTGGATGGAGATGAGCTTAAACAATCACACTTGGTGTTAAAATAAAAGCAGAGGGTAAAACGTCTAAATCGCTTTTTTATCTTTAATGTGTTTCATTCCAAGAAACGCTGTGATTGGTTCAAATATGCAAGATGAACTTAACTTTTTATAAGAACTTAACTTTCTATTTAAGTTTGGCTTTATATTAAGATAAACATATTTTTTAAATTTTCTTAAAGCTTTTGGAATGAAGCTTATCCATTAACAGGAGTGTTGTGCTAATGATTGGTACTAAAATACTACAATTGCTCATTAAAACACTCAATTGAAGCTTTTGTGACTGTTTTGCTCTCTGATTTATGAGCTGCTTACCCTTTTCTTCTTTGCTACTCAAAAGTAAAGAGTGAAGAAACAGTCTGGAAAAATGTTTAAGTCTGTCTGGTAACTCTTTTCCGTGTATGTGCGTGTCTTTGTCCCTGCAATGGTAGCGTTCCTACATATGATACAATGAACAGGTTCCCACGAGCTTCGGCACCTCCGAGGCACATCGACTGGTGATAGTCAGCTCTAGCTTGGCTCCTGAAAGGTACTTGAACACAAGACGGGGAATCTGTCTCTAACATTGACTTCCTCACACTTTTTCTCACAGCCATCCTGCTGAAATAGAGTCAACAATCATCTGTTTTTAGCTTATCTTCTATATCTTTCATTTTCTAACACTTAACGCCTGTCCACAGCTTGTTTTAGTGCTTTTTTTCTGCTTGCTGAAAAACCATCATGGTGAGAATGACTAATTTTACAGTGAACTGTCAATGCCTGTGATTGTCGAAGTGTTTTAGATATGAGAAACCTTGATTTTTAGCTTTTGCTACTTGTTTTTAACACAAACATCTTGTGAATGGTTTTGTTTAGTTAGCTCCTGATATTAGTAAGCCAGTAAAATTAATTTAGATGTAGCTGCCTACCTTACAGCACCCTCTGGAAAAGTTCACAGTCTAAAAATAAGTTTGTCTTTTATTGCAGTTTATCTTGCAACAAACACAAGAGTCACAATGAAAATAGAAATTAATATTAATTTTAATATTTAATAATTAATATTTATTTAAAAAAAATCATAAATTTCCTCTGAGCAAATTAACTCAGTGAGGCGAAATGTTTTGCGATATAAAATACTATTTACACTGAATTACTGTTCCCTCAAATAATAGTGCCATTAAAAACTCCTATTAAAAATGTAGGTAAAGCATTTTTTTGCATTGCTTTATTAATACAATTTTTTGTTGTTCATCATGAAATCTAGAAACTTTTATTATAAATGCATATATTTTGAAAAGGGTAAGTTCAGGCCTGATTACAAAGACTATGTTAAAGACAAAATCTATCTATCTATCTATCTATCTATCTATCTATCTATCTATCTATAGATAGCTGTTCTTGTTCAAGGTGTGCAAATTTGCATTAAAGCAATTGAATCAGGAAATGGATGCAAACTTAGTTATGCTTATCTCTCTATTTATTGTTTATTGTCTCTATATGAAGTTGGAGGAGAAGCAGGGATATTATGTTGTAGATTAATACAACAACCTATAGAAGCAAGACCTTTTACCCATCTTCACAAGGGGTTAGAATAACTGTATTAGTTTCCACTGATGTGGAAAGCAATACTCATTGAAAAAAATTTGAATGTTTTTAATGATTTTTATAATGGAAGAAAGCCTGCATGCTATTCTTAATAACTGTACTCATACTAATAATTAGTTATTTTCTTTATATATATATATATATATATATATATATATATATATATATATATATATATATATATATATATATATATATATATATATATATATATATATATATAAAGTAACTGCAATTAAAGCTTAATTTGTATTAGAGAGTTATTTTTCATCGGAGTACAAGTAAAAAGGAGGTTTGTTTTGAATTAGTCGCTTTGATAAAAATAGCTAAAGTCATCTTTCTCTGCTTCTTGTCCTTGTAGTGGCCTTGAAAACTGGAGCTAAAGAACTTCATGGTGAGCTTTTTTGTGTTTTTATGTTTCATTGTGTAGCCATTTGAATAAATGTACATAAACCCCAGTGGTTGAATGAGTTTGGACTAATCTATCAATTAATTAAATCAATACAAATTATTACTCTGAACACAGTTTCCTAAGCCAGAGTTTGCTGCATCTAAACATTTTTACACAAGTTAATGTATTGAAGATGAAACCTCTGAGACTCAGAAAATTTCTTTTGATTAAAAGTAAAATAATTCCTACTTGTTAAAACAGGGTGAAAGTGATGTGATGGAGCCATGTGAGTTTCAGGTAAAAATAAATAATAAAATAAATCAGAATTTCCTTTTTAGTGCAAATGTTACACAATTTACAAATGCTACAAAAAAAAAAAAACCTAAGCATTTTACTAGTTCAATATGGGAAGCCACTGTGTGTAATTCTGAATAATATCAAGGCTGATGATGACAAAACCCTGGAAGACCTGCAGCTGTTTTTGCATCAAAGGTTTCTCTTCACCTCACAATTAACTTCTTAGTTTGTCTCTCTCAAAAAAACTCAAATTCTTGGAGGGCTTTTTATAACAAGACGTGATAATAGGGTCCAAGCCAATTCCAATAGCCTCAGTAAAAGAAACAGGACTACAGTGAAAACTGGCCAAACAGCAGAACAGCTGATATTTCAATCACGGATGGAGACCTAGCTGAACAGGAACAGATCAGATAAGGCAACTATAATAAGAAAAAAAGCAGAGATAACTAAGTTATGAGTGAAGCTTAACAAATACTGCAGAATGTGAGAAAAGAGACATAATGATTAGAGTCCACAATAGGTCCAACGTAGAGCCAGGGAGAAACATCTGACCGGACTGAAATGTATCCCTCACCGGTTTAGGCTGTTAACGCTCTACCTCTCTACTCATCCAGTAATCAAGCAGTATTCTGTTTTTAACTAGCTTTATGGAAAAGGAAAGTTTTAAGCCTAGCCTTAAAAGTAGACACAGTGTCTGCCTCAGGGACTAAAACTGGTAGTCGGTTCCACAGGAGAGGAGCTTTATAACTGAAATATCTTCTAGGAACCACTACTAAACCTGCAGATTGAGGAAAAATTGCTTTGTCAGGAACATAAGGAACAATCAGATCTCTGTTATGAGATGGAGCTTGGTTTTCTAGGGTTTTAGATATGAGAAAGAAGATTTTACATTTTATTATGGATTTTACCAGAAGCCAATGAAGGGAAGCTATGATTTTCATCATAACTCTGGCTGCAGTATTTTGGATCAGCTGAAGGTTTATAATTACAGTTTGTGGACATCCTGATAGTAAAGAATTACAATAATTCAGCATTGAATTAACAAATGCATGGAATAGTTTCTCAGCATCACCCCTGGACAGGATATTTCTTACTTTAGTAACTTTGAAGATGAAATAAGGATGGTTCATCTGGATTTATAGACAGATATAGCTGAGTATCATCAGCGTAACAGTTGAAACAATCCCATGCTGTCTAATAATTCTGCCAGTTGGGAGCATATATATATATATATATATATATATATAGTAAAGAGAATTGGCCCTAGCACTGGTAATCCTGGAGCATGAGGAAGATTTATCATTAACGGGACCAAACTGAAATCAGTCAGATACTGTACATACTATTTAAACCAGTCTAGCACTGTGTCTTTAATTCCTACAAAATAATCAAGTCTTTCTAAAAGAATATTTTGGTCAACTGGATCAAATGCAGCACTAAGATCCAACAGGACGAGCACAGATACAAGTCCATTGTACACATGACCATATCTGAGGCCATGAGAATATCATTAAGGATTTTACCAGAGCTGATTCAGTGCTATGATGAGCTCTAAAACCAGATCCAAACTCTTCAAAATGTTCATTCTTTACATGGTGTAAGTAGTCACAAATTATGAGAAGATGAAGCTACTTTCTCAAAACTTTTAGGTAACAAAGGAAGATTAGATATAGGTCTATAATCCACCAAGTCATCTGGGTCAAGAGATGGTTTAATAAGTACAGGTTTCATTACTTAATTCTTAAGTAAAGGTTTATTTACAGCTACCTTTACAAGCCTGGGATGCATATCACTGTAACATGAACAGGTTAGTCACATCTAAAATGTGATTAACCGAATGGAGGTGGAAATTAGAGGGAATACTTCATTAAATAATTTGGTTGGAACTGGATCTAACATACAAGTTGAAGGCTTGGATGAAGACAATAGCTTTGCTAACTCTGAAAGTTAAACTGAATCAAAACAATCCAAACCCGGTTCAGATTCTATAGTTACCACAGATGCTTCCCAACCTTTCAGAGATGATCCAGTTATATTTAGAAGGCTGCCAATGACCTTATTTTTAATCAGATCAATTTTATTTCTAATGAATCCCATAAAATCATTACTGCTAAGAGCAGGGGGAATGGACGGTTCTACAGCGCCATGGCTCTGAAGAAAAGTGCAGGAGTAGAATTTGTGATAAAAAGTGCTTCTGAACAGTTAGATTAACTTAGGGGTATCACAGAAAAGATAATTTAGCTCAGGCTGAGAGAGCCTAAGCAGTTACACAGAACGTAGATCAGCAGTCAAAACAGGAAGGGAGCGTGATATGCCTCATCAACAGCAGCAGCAGCTGAAAGGCCTGAGTAGACTGTCTTTATGTACCAACTATGATTTAAATCATCCATGAAATCCAGAACACATTCTCTGCTGGTTCTATACACCATGTAAAATCAAATTCAATTCTCTTCACTTCATTCCAAATACAAACGCATGTAGACAGCCAAGAATCATTGCCGTAGATCATTAAAAACTGCAGTAGATAAAGAGACAAAACATATACTTCTGATATAAAAAGCTCTATAATAGTTTTACAGCAATAACAAAAGCAACAGTAATAATACTAGTCATAATAATAATATGTAAAAAAAATTGTTCTTACTGTTTTTTAGGATCTGAGATGTTTCTACAGTTGGTTTCTTCCTTCCAATAGAAGAACACAGAAGGTCCTGCTTAGTCTCTGAATTCCTCCCAGTTTTGCTGCTGCCTGCAGGACACTAACCTCCTCACCCCTCAACATCAATCTGAGCCATTTTCCATTCATATTTTACCAGGACTGCTGTGTCTGCGTTTACATTTGTTTGGACACAAAATGAAGTAAAGAAAAAAACACCTTAAGAGGACAAAGCATTGACTGTTGTGATTGCTCAATTTAATGTACGTTTTGCTCAAGAACCGAGAAGCTGAAAGCGGACCTTAAGATCAAGCTGGGGAAAAAAATTTCCCCTTTCAGTTTAAGAAGGTGTAGCACTTTCAGTTTAATAGAAGTCTAATAATATGGGGTATTAAAAAGGTATGCTCATATAGATCAGATTGTTTTTTTTTTTGTTTTTTTTTATAATGCATCCCTTTTTTAACTGGAGCATGAGGGAGGCAAGGGATGTGTGATTATTTTATGTACTAAGAAATAGTGTGTTTGAGCAAAGTGGTGTAAAGACTCATGGAGAGATTTTGTATGAAAATGCAGCATGACTTTTTTAAACTGTTTACAATATTTCCAGAGATGTCGATTCTGCCGGTTGTAAATGGCTGTGGGTCAATTTGTCCCTTTGGCAACTCATTATCTTGTTCAACACTTTTCGGTTTTGTCTCCATCTACCTCCATCTTTGAGCCGTAGAACAAACTTTTTGTTCCCTCTCTTTAACAATGGTTTCATTTTCAAGTTTATTTCTATTGGTAATTAGGTGTTGTGATGCATTTTAGAAAAAAAATTGCATTTTTGGAAGAATAAAGTTTTATTGTGTTTATGCTCCTTTAAAATTTATGTTTTATCTAATTTCATCACTATCAACTTTGATTTTTGTCTCTGGAACAATACCAATGGAGTCACAAGACCACATTTCCTTACCACAATATACAAAATTACCTTAACTCAGTGGTCCAAATGGGTATTTTTTTAATCCCCAGGTCAGCTCGATTGGCTTGACACCACACCCAGAACAGTTCAGTCAGAGAAAGACAATATTGTGAAAGTACAAGATGGCAAAGGGCCAAAATGACCCACGTTGTTGTGAGAAACACAGGAGGGGACTGTTTGCCTTTAAAATGTTTTACCATTAGATGTTACAAATAGAATTCTTTTTAAAAGAAGAACAGCCCATTTTACACTGTTAAATATATACAACCTTTGAAGATTTTTCCCCCCCTTCTGTATCATTTGAATTTGTGTCAGGCATTCAAAGTTACAACAGCTTCCTCTTTGAGTTTTAAATCTCAGCTGGTTAAAAAAAAGTAGCTCTAAAGGCGAGGAACACATTTGACCTTTTTTTCCTTTGCCTTGGTAACAGAATACCTTCACTTCCACCATGTTATGGGAACTAATTCAGTTCCAATGTGTGTCAGATGTGATTTGGTTGAATCTTCCATTTAAAATTTACAGCAAAGTTGGATTTTAATGGTTGAATTGAACTATATCGCCTCTGTGTGACATGCTTTATTTTCAGGTCTTCCCTGCTTTTATTTTTATTATACTTTGATGTGGAAAGTTAATTCTCAAGCCAAATCCCATTGTTTTTAAATGTTCTTTCTATTGCTCGCCTTTTTTCTCTTTGTCTGCTTTTTTGTAAAAAAAAAAAAAAAACATTACTTATGAATACATGCATAGGTGTACATGTGTTCATTCATTGTTTATCATTATATGAAGAAGCTGAGTGAGGAATAAGCTGAAATCATTACATCAAGCAGGCCAATCAACATTCATTATATCTCAGATCTAAACACAGATGCTAACTCTGGTGAGAACAAGGACAATCTATTATATGGGACCAATGAGCACTTTCAATCAGATGATGAAGAGAAATATTTTTTAAGGTTTACACTGATTAGCTTGATCTACTCTGTAAAACAAAATCTACCTTAGCGGCCAAAGTTTGGATTTTTTTGTGTCATTCTAAATACACAATAACAGAATAGATTTACATGATAAAGTATATTAAAATGATATAAGCTATATATAATGTATATATGGACAGAGAGAGAGAGAGAGATAAACAATAACATAAATACTTTTTATGTAAATTGTATGAAAATATCTAAGATTATTTTTTACACTGTTAAGGTTAAAGGTCAAAAATCTAGTCTAAAGTTTTTTCTCCACATTTAGAAGTATATCTTTTTTTCTAACAAATGTAACTCATTAGCTTAGCTTCTTTTTGTTTGTAAAATCTGCAAAATCTGGGCAAAATAAAGTAACAAAAGTCATCCAAAGGAGATGCTGACTTCCATGCTGAACTGTCCAAAATGTGCTTTTCCATAACTTATTGGCTCTGTCTTTTTTTTCTTTCTTTTTTTGTGGCTTAATTTACAGACTAGTTCTCCTTAAGGTGGATCTTTTTAGGTGATTGATGTGCTCAAGTTGACTATCACAGTTTTCTTCCTTTTTAGAGTCTGGTTAAGCATCTATGGGGACAAATTCACAACTTAAGTGCTTTAACTAGTTATATATCATAACTCTGCATTCATCTGATGAATAGCTAGCTGGTATAAAATGTGATGCTCCATAGTAGGGTGATGATGAATCCAGATTTTTTTTTATGTGGCTATGACAAGTGTATAAATTGTGAATAAACTCTTCAGTTCAAGTTATCTCTTTTGCCAGTCTTCCTTTACCTATTTTGCTTACTGATTACTTTGGGTAGTAATATTAAATTATAATGAAGAGAAATAATTATGTTCTTTTTAATTATTATTATAACTGAGAAGAAAACATAAAATTTTGTGGAAATATGTGGTCAAAAAAGGAAAACATATTTTGAATTAATTTATAATTTATGTTACATTGAAACCATGTGTAACCAAATATTTCAACAGTTTTGCAGAGTTTAGTACAAAGCAAATTCCTATGTGATGTTGGTACTGCCAAGCCTCAACCCTGTGGGTTGCATTACTGGACGGCTTTTCAACAAGACATTATTATCCTCTTCCATAAGCTTCGTTTCCAAGTTTTCTCAGGGCCTGGGCAGTAAGCAAATTAATGCCCCAAGAAAAACCACGCACACATTGGTTCTTCTAAATACATTTCTTCCAAAAAAAATTGTTGAACAATCTCTTTTTTACTTAGTAATCATACACTTAATCATTAGTGTCTGTGTCGTAAATTTCAAAATTTGATGAGTATACTTTGATTTCGGAAAAGGTAGCATCTCATTTGATTTTATTTATGGGTTTCAGATAAGGAAATCCAAAACCTACACATCTGATGAGAACAATGTAGAGACGTTACAGAAAAATCATAGCAAGTTGAGTGAAGGGTAGGAAGAGTTGCAACGGGGATAACAGCCACAGCTTAAAATAGTATTCTATTCAGGAATCTTAAGCTTAATCTCATGTAAGATCCCCTATCAGTGTCTCTCAATGTGCTTTGTTGAATGGCATGCCAATTACTGGCCTTCTTTTGCAGTTTTGCTCCTGCATTTGTCTGCCTATGTTTCTCTGGGGTGCTTTTCTGGGTTTATGTTTAGAGGAAAATGACAGCTTACCCTTCAGTGTTATGAGCTTTAACTGCCACTTAAAACAAAGAAGCAGAGTTCATTTTCTTTTTGATCTGCTTTTACACTTGGTTTCTAAATATATACAAAGCAAACACAAAGCTATGAACATGTTGTCGATGAGTGAAATAATGCAGTGTTAAACTGACCTGTGTGATTTGGAGACCACTTGAGTGTGTCTAAAATGTCTTAATCTTTGAGAATATATCATGTTTTATAGAAAGAAATCAAACATAAGCTTCCTTGCTGCAACAAAAATCTTTACATACATTTCAGCTGAATGCTAAAGTGGTTGTTCCAATCTCCGCCCACATAACCACATTTTCCTATTCTGACTCATTTTGTGTGCCTTAAGTTACCGTGTCGCTTGGCCAATAAATAGCCTGAGCGCCAGCGATTCCACTCTCATCTTGCCCTCAGCATTCATCCGACACCATGTGGATCCAGGCCACTGCTCTTCTGCTCCTTGCCTATTGTCCTTGGCCAGCTGAAGCTCAGCGCGAAACGAGACAAAGCATCTGGGATGATCCCATCAAGTTCACGACTAAGAATAAGGACAAATGCACCATGATACTCACAGGCCAGGGGGAAAACATGAAGCTGAGGCTATCATGCGAGGGCAGCAAGAGGTCTTATTGGTGTGAGTATGTGGGAAAACCTTACACTTGCAGTGCTTTCAACAAAAACCCAAGGCACTACTTTGTCCAGATAATGTGGATCCTCAGAAAGCTACCGAATGCCTGCCAGGGTCCCAGAGAGATCAAACCTAACATGTGCAGGAAGGCGACCGATGACTCCCGAATGATCTTCTCGGCTGGCCCATACCTACGACAGCCTCAAAGACCCCAACGTTTGTCCGCACACACAAGACCGAATGTGACAGTGAAGGCACTTGTGAAAACAACTCGGGCATCAGAGAAAGTTAAAACCACAGCCCAGTCACAAACGACCGCACCACCGACTGAAAGCACAAGCAAGAGAATGGCTAAACAGTACTGCTGGAGGTCCCTTAATGGTGTCTGCTCCTTCATAATTGGCCTGTTTAGGAATTAACAAAAGAGGTAAGAAGCCCGCCTAAAAAAGCAGCTCTTTATCAACTCTAAGGATCAGCATCTTGTTTAAGAGTGCAATGCCATTGTATTTCTGTGCATTATATTTTGCTTGCTCCAGTGATTTGTTAAACATTATTTTCTTATTTCACTGATTCCTAACTTTCAGGATTTTGCTTTGTCTTTGTAAACCACACAGAATCTGCTGAACTGGTGACTAAAGCCACCACCAGTGGAGAAACCCCGGCCAGTCATTTGTTTTCAAACATCTAAAGCGCCCTCTAGAGGACATGGACTGGTACTGGAGTGATATTTCCCCCAAAAAACTTGATTTAACATGTTTTTTGTTTTCTATGGGAGCCTTTCTGGTTGAATTTCACTAACTTTTTTATGTTTTGCATGAAATAGACCTGTATCAAATGAAACTACTTTAACCAGTGAAAAGATGAGTATTCACGTTTTGTTGTATTATCTTATATAACTACCTTAAATGTAATTCTCGGGGACAAAATTTATGTTTAATGTATGAGAGAAACCCTCTCTTCTGCTGATTTATCAGAAATGTGCATGAACAGTGAAAATGTGAGAAATAAATATTGTTAGTAAAAAAAGATTATTTAGATGTTTTTCTTTTTATCTGTCTTAGAAACTGGAGTATCATACTTGACTTGTTCATATTAAGCACAACTTTTGTAAAAGGAGGGGATTTACTGGGTAGAAAAATAAACAACTTAAAGTATATAAAATATTGTTAAAATCTTAAAGCTCGGTCAAGATTTAAGAATTTATCAGTTCTCCCATGATTCCTTAAAAGGATAGAAGAATAATCTTCAAAACAAACGTTCCTATTAATTTTAATACTTTAAAAAAAATTTAAATGTCATGTCTGTATGAATTCTTCTGATTCCCTTAAATTTTTTACCTTTTGTCCATAAACCTTTTTGTATTATATTGGAATATATATCATAGATCTTTAGGAGGTTGTGCATTTATGAATTGTAAAGAGAAAACATAGCATGCTCACAAAATGTTTTACAAATAACATCTAGAAAGTAAACTTTTCTTTTCCACCCCCCTTAAGTTAATCCCACAATGCAGCTGCACAGAAGAACACATCAATTTTCTGTGATAAAGTTGTGGAGAGATTCAAAAAAGGGTAACAAAATGAAATGTTAATCCCTGCGACAAAGACAGACCTACCAAAGGATGGATATCCACCTAAACTGATGAGTAGAACAACTGTTATTTTTGCGCTCCCCAAATCTGAACTTAATCAAAAGGTCTTGGCAAGACAAAAAATTATTGAAAAAATAAACACAAATTCCTATTAGGATTAACCAAAATCCTTGATGATGTTCGTCTCTTAATGGTTTCACAGTGAAACCGCAGTGGGGGAGAGTTAATGGTATTTTATTTGTCTCCTTAGTCTTTAAATAATTTGATAAATTTTACACAAGAAATATTCTAAATGTCAGATAAATATATTTAGTTTCCTGGTGGCTATATAATTATTTCTTTCCTCAATAAGTAGGGTGCTGATTTTGTCAAAGCTGTAAACTTTTTTTATTGATTACTGCAGAGGCTGCTCAGAGGGGCAGTGGTTAGCACTTCTGCCTTGCAGCAACAACATCTGGATTTGATTTCTGCAAGGAATTTGCATGTTCTCCCTGAGCATGCGTGGGTTCTCTTTCAGCTTCCTCCCACAGTCCAAAAACATTTTGGATTTTAGGTTAATTGGCTTCTCTAAATTCTCCACTCTTAGTGAGTGTGTGAATGGTTGTTTGTCTCTGTGTTGCCCTGCGATGGACTGGCGACCTGTCCAGGGTGTACCCCGCCTCTCACCCATAGACAGCTGGAGATAGGCACCAGCACCCTTTGTGACCCCGCTTGGAATAAGCGTGACAGAAAATAGATGGATGGATGATTATTTCAGAAAATGTTTTTGTCAAAAACAAAAGAAATAATAATTGTCTTTAAAAAGCAGCCTTCACCATGCTTCTTGTTTTATCATTCTACACCTCTGTGCTGTCAATGACAGCCATTTGACCTAAGAGCCAGTACAGAAACAACTTTTGCAAATTATTTGCTGTATATGTATCTTTATTTTAAATGGATAACAGCAACATTTACATAAATTTACCTGAAACTATTTGGTTTCTGGTTCATGAAATGGTTTTTCACTTTACATTTATTGGTTGGTTTCTGTTCCTCATCTTAGAAAAGAAGCATTGGCTAAAAAGGCTCCATAATAACATGCAGCACATTAACTGCTTAAGGAAAACCTCCAAGAGCCATGTCCTATACTTACAGACTGGTTTCGATCTGGCTGTAGATGCATGGAAATTATAAGGCACGTAAGAGGAAAAGTACATCACTAAAAGCAGCTGAAAAACATAGAAGTATGAAAATATGAACATGTGGATCTAGCCTGATGTATCAGACAAATCAGCAACTTGATTGACTCTTATCTTGCATTATGCAGTACCTTATGTTAATTTGTCAAATAAAATCCTAATAAATTGTTTTGTGGTTGCAATACAACAAAATGTCAAAAAGTTCAATGGACATGAATCCTCCTCCAAACTACAAAACTCAATAACCTTCATGGTTCATAAAACAACATAAAGAAGTAAACTAAGGAGCAATGAATCTCAAAGTGTAAATGTTTTAGACACACCTGCCTACCTGCCAAATTGGCCAAACATCTCTCACCTGCCAGGACATCTGAGAACTTTTAAAATACAACGTTCTACTTTCACCACACAGCAAAGATGTTCAAGTGAAGCATGTAAGTTTCAGCTCTTCTTGAAAATACAATCTTTATTGCAAAAACAATGCATTTTAAAAACAGAATAGAACTCTCCCAAAGTACGTGTTAGTGGAGACACTGAGACACCGTCTCAGGTTTCTCAGCTCTCTGTGCTGAGGTGCATGTACTCCCCTCAGTCGGAGAAAAGGAGCAATATTTGGCAATTCAAGTGGCAAACCCCGATTACAATGACGTACTTGATTTTCATGCATGCATGCATGGGGGCGAGGTACGTGGGTGTGTAGGAAGGGGAGGGCTGATTATGCAGCAGACTTTTGACATCTGAAGGAAAGACGTTAGAGCTCAAGCGGGACAGCAAACCAATCTTGCTCTGAAAATTATAGGTAAGTTTAATCACATTTAACCAAAACTTTGCTGTTGAACTGTGTAACTGTGTAACTTTGCTGTGTAAGTCTGCCACCAATTCATATAGATTTTTTTCTTTTTATTTCTATGTCTATAAAACTATTTTCTTTTATTTGCAACAGCTTTATTTCATTTGGTACAGTAATATCACATACTTAAGAGCCTTAAACTTGAGTATGTATCTTTATCGATCTAAGGTTATGATGTAATAATGTTAAAAATTTATTCTATAAAATGATTAATAATTTTTTTATCAGAGGAAAAACTTTTTCAGTCAAAGTCTTACTTTACATGTACTGTAGATTTTGGCTTTAGGTCTTCTGTTACATACCAGCAGTATTTACCTTTTCCACTCGTCCTCTCTATGCATTTGTAACCTTAGCATCATTCCTTTAATTTCTAGAAACCATATAGGCATGAAACCAATTTTTTAAATGATCTTTCTCCACCTGCGAAATGTATCCCAACATCTCTTTTAAAATGCCGATCTAATGGCAGGTTTAAAAATAGTAGTTTAAGGGTCTGATCTCCTAATCTAAGTTCATTCTCTTTCAGGGTTTGTTTTGTGGATTTCATGGCTCTTCTCACCAATATGGCCATCCTGATGGTCCTTGCTTGTATTTCCCATCAGATGGTGTTAGGTAGCTGTCACAGGGGCCATGGACGTAGAGGACAGGGGGACAAAGCGCAGCGCAAGGAAAGATCAGGGCCCAACCGTGTGAAACCTGTTCGAAGTAATCTGCTCACCAAAGATGGTTCACAGTGTACCTTGACTACAACGGATGAAGACCCCCTGTCACTCCTCATTAGTTGCATAAAGGGAGAAAGGAGCTTTGTTTGTACATATACCGCCAGACCAGCTCTTTGTCCCCAGTATGCTTCAAACACTTTACTCTACTGGAAGCAGATCAGCAGGGCTCTGAAGAAGCAAAACAACCTGTGTTATAATGAAGCCACATTAGTGAGGGCAGGCATGTGTAAACATGCTCCCAAAGACGCTCACTTTAGACTGGTAGTTTCAAAGAAGGAGGTGACACCCTCTCCTTTCATCATTTCAACACCTCCAAACAGAAGCACCAAGTCCTGCCTGTCTAAAAACAAGAAACTGGCCAAAGAGCTTTGCAGCGACTCCTGGTCTAGTCTGTGCACCTTCTTTTCCACCATGGTGAATAATTATGATTGCTGAGGCACAATCGATGAATTGCATAGAAACAAGGTCAAGCTTTGCAACCATATTAAGACTTACAGTATTGAAGTGTTGGATCTTTATAAAAGATTGTGGTCATGTAAAAAAAATGACAGTAGACAAAACTTGTAATGTGGTAGTGCACATTTGAGATACACAAATACACAGTTGATTTAAACACACACACACACACACACACACAGACACACACACACACACACACATATATATATATATATATATATATATATATATATATATATATATATATATATATATATATATATATATATATATATATATATATATATGTGTGTGTGTGTGTGTGTCAGTTTAGTTTTAATTACTTGTACAAGCTTTGATTAACAGTAACTATTACATTATTCGATCTGAGTATAAAATGTGGATCTGAGTGTAAAATCTGACGAGGACATAATGACTGTAAAGTTAGTTTTATGTTACATTAACACAATTTAACATTTACTGCTACAAAACTTGTTTGTTTATTTAATGATTTTATTCCCTTTTAAATGATTGTGATTCCTGTGGGACACAACCAGCATGTACAGAAATCCAGCCTGAGCATGATACATACTGAGATAAAGGATCCCGTCCATTCTATCAGGTGTATTAGCCACAAAACTAGAATTAAATTGAGGATGTGATAAAACTTGAACATTTTTACCAGAAGTCATGAATGACCACCACATTTCTTTACCCAATTTCATGGGCTTGCGTTTTAGTATTACTTTGCTTTGTATTAATCAGTTGCAATGAGTCTTTATGTACAGTAGATGTTGTAAGAAAAATATCTTTGATGTTTTTGTGTAAAAAAAAAAAAACTTTGCATCTCAAAGTATCATAGATTAGAAATGTCAAAGTGTGCAGGATTTGTTATTGTTAAAATACTTTTTCTATGCAAATATTGTAATGAAAAACCCAACTGATCTTTTTCCAAAGTGTCATGGTTGACTAACAAGTTTTGCTGAAAATTATTCCAGGGGTGAATTAAGGATTTTATTCTTAAATCAGGATTTATAGTTGGAGATTTGTTCCTAAAGCATAAGATGAAATTCTGTGACTTCACTTAAATCATACAAAATTAAATCTATAACCTAACATAAACAGAGAACTGGGATTTTCAGGACTTTGCCTTTAAAATAAAAAATGTCAATAAGAATACATTTAATTTGGTGTTATGTTCAATCTATCGACATAGCATAATTTAAGATGAAAACATATATTGTTTAGACAACAGTCTATATATATATATATATATATATTTACTATTTCAAAAAAGCCTTTAGGTGTGCAGCATTCATGCCCATGATATTCTCATATTTTTGTACTTATTATCAATATTCAACCTTTATCATTTTAATAAAAGCTTTATTTTAAAAGATAAACATCAGTTTGGATCCACTTCTTGTTCTTTTTGATTTTTTTAGGATGCATATTAACATCTTTGTCTCCTTTTGGTCTACCAGTAATAATCTGCTTCCATAACATCAGTATGAATATCAGCGTTCAGAAGTCAACCAGAGGTTATTAAAAGGCGGACTTCGACCAACCAGAGTCGTCTGAGGCCATGCTGAGATTTTAACAGGGAAACGATGTGATGCTTTTTCTCTTGATTTAATCCTGAACTCCTGCTGAAACCTAACGCTATCCCCACAGATGATATCCATCAAGTTTAGGCTCTCAGCAGGCTTTGCTCTGCTCTTTGTTGGAAATCTGTTATGATAAGAAAAAAAAAAAAAGAAGACTTAAGCAATGTGGCTTAAAAGGAAAGAAAATTAGAGGGCAGTGACAAAGTCAGGAGGATTGCATTGAAGTGCAGAAGTATATTTAGGAAGGAATTTTCCTTCAGGCAAAGCTATAAAAACGCCACCTGCTGAAAGCATAACACTGATGCTGCAGTGAAGGTTGTTAAAGATAATGTAACAGCCCTCTAAAAAAGCATCCAGCTGCTGGAAAACCATCTCAAAGCATTTACTTTAAGAATTGGATCTTAAATTTGATGAAGTGGGTTCCAGAATTATCTTTTCAGTCTGGAATCTCTGTTCATCAACTATAAGATTAAATTAAACATTGTGAGGTTTACTTTTTATTTCTTAACTGACAGTAATCAGGTAAGGTAGAAGATAGGAAAAAAAAGCTGGACCTAACAAAAAAAAGTTAATTGCAGTTAATTTATGATATAACAAGGGCAAGGTAGTTTTTCATTTTTCATTTCAAGACACCCATCAGTATTCATTTGAGATTCATTTGCCTAATGTTTCAAGTGTTTTCAATCATATTAAAGGGTAAAAAAGACAAATATGCAGGTAGACAGGAACAGTACAGCTTTAGAAATGTTTATTATTGAAAACACAGGGCCAGGGTCAGGGTGGTTTCAGAGAAATACTCACACTGTGAATAATTATCAGCAGTTCTCGGTGGTGTTAGTCAGACCATGCCACAATGTGCTATTAATCCCTGGAGAGGTTCTTTACAGTTGCTTTTTTATCTCTGCTTCGGATGGCCGCTCACACTGAGCCTGGTTCTGCTGGAGGTTTCTTCCTGTTGGAAGGGAATTTTTCCTCTCCACTGTCGCTGCAAGCATGCTTAGTTTGAGGTATTGCATCCGAGTCAATATGTCGATGAAATCAACTTTGAATCAATTTGACCGTATGAGCTGGTGAACTGTAAAGTGCCTTGAGATGACGTGTTGTGAATTGGTGCTATATAAATACACGGAAATGAATTGAAATTGAATAAAAAAAAACATTGGTACATTTCCAAAAATATTCATTATTTTAAATATGAGACGTTTTTTTTTTTAAGTTAGTCATTTTAACCTCTGAAACTGCTTGATAGGCTGCTTATTAGGGTTTTTTCCTTTATTTTAAACTATATCAAATATAGTAAAAAAAAAAAAAAAGACCAAGCATTTTCCTGAGAAGACTGATAAGTCTGAGAAGTCTCCTGCCAGGTAGGTTCTCCATGATCTCAGCCAACTTCTTGACAAACTGGAATTGTATTTAAATATCCAAATGCAGATCATATGGCAGCTTCCACAAAATCACTGCAATTTGCTCCATGTGTTGGTGCTCTCCATTACTACCTTTTTTATTATGATGGTGTGTAAGTGTTGCAAGCTTCTTCAATTAGTTTTTATTAGGGCCCACACTGAGCAGATTACCTGGAACAACAGTTTAATCAAACGTTGATAAAACGTCCATGGTTAGTAAATATATCCCATTTGAAATACTTCTTTAAAAGTTAGAAAAATGTAGTTTTCATTTTATTATCAGCGTCTTAACAATCTTATTCAATCTTGCTTTGCTGTGTTGCATTTAAGCATGAGAAATGGCCTGGTTAGAACTTCCAAACGATTATTCTGCATCTCTGTAACCTTTGGCTTTCATACAACTCTGGTTCTAATCCCTTGAGATGTTATGTAAAATTAAAAGCCTTTTTAGGTGCACGCCACAAATTCTTCAAAGTATATTCTGAAACATTAGAAACAAGTGTTGGTGTGTGGTCCAAGTCTAGTGTGGAGTTACAGGTGGTGTGACTGCCTTCAGCCCCTGATTGGCTGATAAATATCAGTCGGTCAAACTGAAGATAAACGGGTACACACTCCAGTTCTTTTCAACACAAAAGAGGTTTGGCACTCTGTGTGTGGGGGCCTAAGTGATCATATGAATGCCTTTGTATGTGTCTAAATGAGCATTTGGTTTGAACAGAGCCTCAGTTGAGCAGGATTACAGGAATTACAGTAATGAAGGTGCCCAAAAAATGTATTGTTGGTATCACATGTCAGATTAGTTTGTGTTGCTGGTTGCAGCAAACACTGCTCTACAGCTGATAAAATTCATGGCGCACAATTTTTACAATTAAATGAGTGAACAAAAAAAATCATGAAAGAGATTCCTGAGCTTTTATAAAGACCATATGCAGCTGTATTTGGACTTGAGATTGAAATCTGACACCAGCGTTTTTCACTTTAAATTACTGCTATTGGATGAACAGATAGTTCAGAAAGAGACTCATTTATATTAGTCAGAGTTGTCTTACTCTTACCAAAACAGAAATATTCAAATGTGCTCATGTAATTGTCTGAGTTTTGAGTACCTTTTTAGAGTTTTTACTTTGAGCTCAGTTGGGTTTTTTGTGTGTGTATTAAAACCCCTGGATATAACTGTTTCACATTGTTATGTTGCAACCAGAAAATTAAATATAATGCAAAAAATGTATGAAAAAGAACAAACCAAAGTAGCAAATATTGCAAAGGCATAGAAAATGTTTAAAATTGCATTTGTATTAAACGTCCTCTGAGAGAATACTTTTTTTTAATCAGTTCATGTTGCAGCTACAGCTGTAAAAATCTATTGAAGCTTGTCTCTATAAAGTATACACATTAAATATACATGCAGGCTACTTCTCATTGGACTTTCAGAGCATGCGATTGCTTGGTTTATTCAATAATTTAGAAAACAGGTCCCAGTGTATAAATGTGAGGGCCTTTGTTCTGAATTTTTTACAGTTCACAAGGGTTTGCCACAAGGATCTGTTTTAGGCCCCCTCTTATTTATCTTGTACATCAACAATGTTAAAAAAAATTTCTCTGATGCTAATTTGCATCTTTATGCTGATGATACCATTATTTATTGCTTTGGGTCATCTTTTGAACAGGCTATTATTTCTCTACAGAAAGCCTTTGTTGCTGTACAGTATTTTGTTATTAATCTTAAACTATTTCTTAATGCTGACAAAACAAAGTTAATGTTGTTTTCAAATCATAGGAAGGTGCCTCAAACCGTGTCAGTAGTGTCCACTCTGGAGGGGAATGTCATTGAGGTGGTACATGAATGTAAATACCTTGGAATTGTAATTGATGACTCCCTCACCTTCGAACCTCTTATTGATAAACTTGTGAAGAAATTAAAAGTTAGACTGGGCTTCTTCTTTTGTAATAAGACATGTTTTTTTTTTTGTAATGAAAAAAGCGCCTTGTCTGTGCCACGTTTTTATCGGTGTTAGATTATGGTGACCTTTTTTATAAGATTGCTACTTCTTCATGTCTTAAAATGTTGGACTCTGTTTACCATGCTTCATTAAGGTTCATCACAAACTGTAGAGTCATGACACATCACTGTGACCTGTACTCTCAGGTGGGATGGCCTTCCCTCTCTACCAGAAGGCAGTGTC